TATGGTATCTGAGAAAAGTTTCATTACCTTTCGGAAAGTAACGATTCCGCGTTGCCGGCAAGAAGCGGAAGACCGAGGGCCGTTTTCAATGACATAAAAGACCGCGCTGGGAAAGAAGGAGCCGCGGAACTGAAGTCCGCAAAGGTTGAACTCGGCCGCGCGTTACAACTCCCATAACAGAATTAAAAAAGTTTGCCCGGTGTATTAAAGGGAAATATGTGAAACACGATGTTATTAGACGTCGGTCCGATGGAGGGATGAAAAGACTCCGCTAACGTCGGTGAAACCACCTGCTGAAAAGGAAATGGGTCATCTTCTGTAATGTTCCTCTGTATCGCTGTTTCCTTGCGCCCAGTGAAACCGCCGGGAAATACGAACAATTTCCATCGTCGATATCTCTTTGCGTACGGGTTACGGAAGCTAAATTCGCGGGAAAAATTGAATTCTTCCCTTCCATAATATTACTATATCGATACAATAATTTTAATGATATTGCACGGTAAAAATTTTCCATCGCAATCCTTCCTTAATAATGTTAGATCGTCTTTTTCAAAATAACGCGCTAGCGTTTCATCGGAATTTAATTGAACGGAGATCCAAATTACGAATTACAATGTGATTGAATCATAATGTAATCGAAATTTGCAATTGTAATTAATCGAGTAATTGAATCGCGATTCCGCGGAATTCTGTAACGAGGTAGCACATATTGGTGCTCGATCGAAATCGAGCGGATTCCTAAAAGTTATGAAATCATCGACGGTAGATAATGGCGTCGATCGATTCGAACAGGTACGAAATAACGCGGCGGCGTTTCCGCGGAAAATCATCCGCGTTTGCCAGGAACCCGTTCCACTCGTCTTAATTACCGTTCCGCGACGCGTAAATTTCCTCGAAGAATTTCCCCGCAGAGAAGAATGCAAATTGAACCGGCAGCGTCGGGCGAACTTCATATTTTAATTTACACGGCGCCCGGCAACTCGAACCATAAGTTGCCATTTTAACGTTGAATTAATTAACAGTCGAACCCGGCTGCAATAAGTAGATTAAACTTCTCTAGGTCATTACTCGCTGCCGCGAACGAACGTTACAATAGAGGATCGTTCGGTGACAAGATAGCAAAAGACAAATTACTTTAACCGGATATCGCGGGGAGTTAAGCTCGCCGTGGTAAATTATGTTACAGGAGCGAACGTGTAATACGATTTAATTACTGCTAAGGAAGAATCAGACGGCGGACCGGTCCAATTAAAATAAATCCCCGCCGGTGAAAACCGAGAGAAACAAATTTATTCCTCACGATTTCTGCCCCGGGCAGATATATATTTATCAGGTTCGCCGATGAATAATCCATTGTTCGTTTAATATAATGGTGAAATAATTCGCACGCTAATTCCCGGTCGAAAGTCACTGGTCCCGGGGCCCGTGATTAATGGACCACGATAATATTATTTTACGACGATACTATAAAACTTGCGGTGTCGGTTGGTGTACGAATTATTTCTGTTCCATTGATCCCTCGTAGAATAATATTTTACTTCGCGCGGGAATCTGGTCCCCGTGCTTTTACCGCATAATGCACCCCGTTGCATCGCGTCGACACGGCGTCGAAACGTGTCGTGCCAACGAATCGTCAATTTGCGGCGAGTTTTATTATATTTATACATATATCTGTTCACATATTTTACATATTTTATTACATATTTATTATATATTCGTATATTTTATTATATATTATATTATATTATATTATAATATAATATAATAATATATATCTTTTTAATGGTGTTTTAATAGCTTTTATGTACATTTTAATAGCGTACTTAAGAAATTAATAAAATATTATCATCAACGCTGGATGCAAAACGAAATAAATTCATTCGATGCGCGATTAATAAAGCAAATCATGGAACGAACATCAGAGACGTCAGCATCGTGAACTTGCAAAAGATTTGCAACGAAAACGCAATATTGCCACGGATCGATAGCCCGAGCTGGAATCGCAGCGGCTATTTATTTATTATATAAAAGCATCCGTTGAAAAATCGACTGCGGGAGCAACGGAAACGGGCGATAGCCGGCGCGTGTTTTTCGATTAAACAAAAATTACGGGATCGATGGGAAAAAAAATCGGGTGGCCCGAGGCACGGCCGGCGATTTTTTTTTGCCGGAGGACGAAATTGAAAAGCGGAGCTGGCGGAACGCCGGGAAAGTTTGCGTTGCCCTTTTCCACGGCGATTTTCATCCCCATGTGTGACCCTCTTCACGCTGGGACGAGCGAGAAGTCACGCCGCGCGGCGAAAGTAGACGCTCGAAACAAGTGTTGATCGATGTCGCACGGTTCTCGCCGATTTTCCTTCCCCCTTTATCCGGCCGATTTTTATTTTCACGCCCGCCGTGAAAACACGTTTTTTCATTTAACGATTATCAATAGGATTGCATTTTAAACACTCGCCCAGCCCGCGATCTCCCTTTCTCTCTCTCTCTTGCTCTTTCTCTCTCTATCTCTCTTTTTATCTCGCGATCCCTTTTTCCAAACCCGACCACGATTCGGCTGGGCTCGGTCACCGGAATCGAGTATCTGTGATTCGATCTTTCAATTCGACCAAGAGCTCTTGAAATACATTTCTATCTGGATTTCTGTTTTCCCCGGTGTTTCTCTTGACGACGTGCTTCCCAGACCGAGCGCAGTTTTCATTGTAAATAGGTGCATAGGAATGCCCGAATTTGGATAACGGTGATCAGGTTTTTTTGCGCGAGCTGTAGGAGTTAATTGGAACATTTGATTTGGAATTCGATCGTTCAGAAACGAGGGTGCTTATCAACTTTATTCTGTTTCGAGCAGCGCGAATTCATGGTGAAAGTGTATCTAGGATTTGTTTATTCGAGAACGATATCGTACTTCAGCGTCGGCATGCTGTTTCGTAACAATGACAGGATTGGATTTAGCTAGAAAAATTCCTCATGCATTTTCCTAATTTCAGTAAGTGTAAAAGAAAAGAATTAAAAGTCACAGTCATCATTTGCGAACAAAATTTGCGCGACAACGTTGCTCTCGCACTCGTCCCGGTGTGCTTCGGCGTTCCCCGGTAAAACAATTATTCCGCCAGGGTTGGGAAAGCTCGGCGACGATGCACGGAAAGTAGAGGCTCTGGGAAAAAGCGGGAAAGAAGTCACGAAAAAAATCGGATGGTGCAGCGGAAGGGAGGAGGCGGGGGAAGCGACGCGATCCGAAACGCGGCCGCCACGGGGTGAAATTAAAATCTCACGCAAGGCTTAAAAGAGCCGTTAAAAAAACGGTTCCCGTCTCGTTCCGCCGTTGGACCGGACCGTGTCGGACCGCCGAAAACGTGGAAATAATTTACGCCTCGCGTTCACCGTTGTCGCGCAATCTCGGCCGCCGGAAAGCGAGAGAAAAAGCGAGCGAAAGAAAAAAAAATATGTATATAGAGAGAAAGAGAGAGAGAAAAAGAGGGAGAGACGAATACATATAAAGAAAGAAAAGGGATTACGCGAAGGCTACAATAAACAAAATTATTGTACGTTGTATCGAATTAAATCTCAACCCTTAACCGGTATAATGAGAACAGAGAAAAAAAGAGAAGGAGAGAAAGGAAAATATTAGAGAGAAATAAAGAAGTAAAAAGGGAGACGAAGAGAGAAAAAGGAAAAGCAGAGAACGGAGAATCAGAGAGAGGAGAAATGGAAAGTGAAAAAGTGGAGAAACGGGAAAACAGGGAGATGGGCGAAAGGGATGGAACGCTGCCGAAAGAATTCGTACGAAGTTGACGAGTAGGCCTCGTGCTCGCCTCGTTACTCGTTCCTACGTCGGCCGTCTTTTTACCAGGTAAAAAACTTCCTCGAGGAAAAAAGAACCAATTTAATAAGGCCTTAATAACTTTGCTGGATGGGGAGGGGGGCGGCAGACGGCTGTGTTTGACGGCTCTACCCCGTTCTGCGAATCCCCTCGCCGTGAAAAAGAGGGAATTCGCTCTTTTTGGTTACCCTGCAAGCCGGCGGAACAATGATCCTCGATGACCGCTTCCAGAAAGTGTTTCTGCCTTCGTTAGCGGAGTTTCCGTTTCATATTAAACGCTCCGCTGCCAAGGAATATGGTCGATTTATCGTGGAAAAATTGTTTTACGAGTATAAAACAATTCCTCCAACAATCTTGCTCTCGACAGGACCGAATATTCTCCGTCGGCGAACGCGGTCGTATCGACCGTCGATTCGGACGATACAAATTGGATTCGGATCGTCGCTGAAAATAATGAAAATATGGATCGATTCCGGCGAAGGATAAAGACGGATCGACAAAGGAACGAACCGTTCGAAAGCGACGATCGGCGGACACCTTCGAACAGAATCGTCGGAATATAAAGCGACAAATCGTTCGATAAACCGTGGCCGACCGAATACCGATTCACGGGCCGATGGACTCATTACGCAGTCACGGGGTTGGTTGTTCGGGGGTTTCGCTTTGACCGGGCGCGTAAACGGCGACAACGTTTCGAACGAGGGGACCGGAATAAAAAAAAAAGAGATTTAAAATAAAACGACACGGGGAAAAAAAAGAGGGAGGCTCGTGATAAAAATCCTCCCGAGGTTGTTCTTTGTGCCGGCGCGGCTTCGCGGGACAAATATTTGCGGGACCGGGAAACAGAAATAGTTCTTCGCAAATAAATACGGGGTTGCTGAACACCGGGGACCGGTTTTCAAATAGAATTATTTATATTTAAAGCGCGAGCCCTTTTCCGCCGGCGAGAATCTCCGCCTCGGCGAAAATTGCTTCTTCGTATTTTTTAAAGACTCTGATAACTGTAAGCTGTGGCAATCCCGTGCCATTTTTAAAATATATGAATATATTTCTAGGTAACGAGATCGAAGAGATTGCTATCCGATGTTTCAAGCATCGTTTAATACACGTGCGATTTTTCTCTTTCGCGACATCAAACGACGGTCGAGCAAACGTTAATTCGTGTTTCGTCTTTTTGTTCCAGGGACCTCCGAGAGAACAATATCTCGGTGATATTCAATACGGACTTCGAGGACATGGCCACGCTCCGCGTCCTGTGAGTAGACGACGATCCGTTCTGTTCGTTAAGTAACGAAGCGAGTTAAGGGCGAAGGCTCGGACGGCTTTAATCGGCCGGGTTTGCGAACAGAACTTGGCCGCGCGCGGTCTTCCGGGAGCGAAATGTTAACGAGTTCGGGGGAAATTCGGCGCGCGGACCGGGACGTATTGTTTTAAGAAAATGGAAATTTACCGGGGATGAAAATTTAATAGCGCGCAATTTCGCGGGCTTTCCCCGGGAAAGCCTTCCTTCGTGTTTGACGTGTTTGCGGAAGTTCCCGCGGGAACGTTTGCCCGCGTTTGAAGAAGCTCCCGGGGGAACGTTTGCCGCTGCGAACGATGCTTCTTTGGAACAACGCGAACCTTACAATTGAAACTTTCTGGCGCCTCTTTGCGTCGTCGGTAATCGGGAGTTTCTTGTGTCACTTTGTTCCCGAGCTGTTGATACTGTTTCATCGTGCCACGAGAAATCACAGTACCAACTTTGGTTCCCTCGATATTAAATACCGGCGCGATAGAACCACGATCATGTTCCAACGTCGCGATTGAAATTAATTCAAATATCACAATTTTGATTATTCATGATTATTCAAATGTCATAATTCTCTGTTGTTCGAACGCGCTTTCATATTTGATCAACTCGATCCGAGGCAACCGATATGCAAAATCATTCGCCGCAAAAGCCGACAAAAATGTAATCCTTCGCTTCGATTTAGAACCGTTCTATTATATTCAACGTTCATTTAATTCCCGGTAATCGTGGTTCTATTGTGCTTCGTTTGAAAGTTTCGCGCGTCCTCGGTTACCGTAACTTTTGCAAAACTAAAGTCGATGAGACTGCATCGTTAGAGGATTAAATAGATAGATCGCCATTTTCTGGCGAGCACGACGATCTCTTCTCTCCACGCCTAAATTCCTTTTTCAGCTGGCTATCGAACAACCAGATCAACACCATCGAAAAGGACGCCTTCAAGGATTTAATAGGCGTCGAGAAGCTACGGCTCAACAATAACCAGTTGCGTCACCTGCCCGATCTTCTGTTCAGCAACATGATCAACTTAAAGCGCCTGTGAGTATTGCAGAATCTGATGAAATTATGCCACCACCTCTTCCTCGTCTCTGCGATAACCGGCAGAGACGCTTGTAACGTGGAAACCTTCGTTCTTCGTTCGTCGTGTGATAGTATTTCTATATTTTCCTTTATTATTATAGTACTTTCCTGTATTTTCTTTTATTTATATTATTTATTTATCTCTTATTTATCTCGTAGCATGCGAGAGTATCGAAGAAGAATCGTTCTGCTCAATTTTCATAGTTTACAGTAATGTCTCCCTTACCGACGCTCGGATTGTCCACTAAAATGGACAATTTGAGAAGGGGAGATACGATTGTTCGAGTCTTGCGGCTCATTTTTATAATTGTGGACAATTTATAACTATAAAAATAAAGCGCAAGGCTCGCATCTCCTCTTCCCAAATTGTCCATTTTTGTGCGCAATCTGGGCGTCAATTAGAGAGACATAATGTTCAATATGTTTTGAAAGTGAACGCGTTAGCATCGACCGAAACTCGATCGAAGGCTATAAAAAAAATTGGCAGATCTACGAGTTCGAAGACTTATCCTTGCACCGACGAAGATTGCCAGCACAACCCTCTCGTAGCTTAGTTAGCCTTCTCCCGTTTCCGTGGGCCGGGGCCATCGACTTATCCACGGCAGATGAAGGATTATCAAGCGTCCGGATGCCCGTGAGAACCTGGCCGAAGCTCGCAACATAATACGTCCTTTTGTAAGCTGGCTGATCCCGGCCTTATCATCAGCGACTGGTAGGTTACGTGTCCGAGGGCAGAGTGGAAAGGAACGCGGCAGAACCCGGGGAACTTTCGAGTCCCGTCCGGCCACTTCGCCGGATGATAGATGGCCCATCTCCATTTCCCGCCTCTCGTTTCATCTCTCTTTTGTTTCGCCTTTTCGTCTCCCTCGCTTCGAATCGTCGCTGTCAGCCGAGATGTTGCAGAGGGAAACGCTCGAGCTTTCTCGCACCACGCTGCGCCGGCAGAGAAAGAGAGAGAGAGAGAAGGAGGCGAAGAGAGATAAATTTTGAGAGAAGGAGAGAGAGAGAGAGAGAGAGATGTAAAGAGAGATAAATTTTGAGAGAGAGAGAGAGAGAGAGAGAGAGAGAGAGAGAGTTCAGGCTTGCGTTTTGGCGGAGCTCGACGCGAAAGCCTGATCGCGATGGAGCCAAGCTCGTTCTTCTCTCTCGCCGGTGGTTGATTAAGATTCTGGATTGGAAAGAGCGCCGAGGGAAAAAGGGGGACCTTCCGGTTAATCGGAGGATCGCATTCCTCGGGGTGCTCGATCTTCCTCGACCTAGCCTCGGCCCGATGTCGCGATCTTCTGGGTCATTTTAGTTTTTCGGGATGACGGATGAAGTGTTGCGGAAACTTCTTTGTGATCTTTTGGTAGCGACGATCTTGTAGAGTCGGGAACACTGGGGATAATGGCGAGGAACTTGTTTGTGTCGCTTTTCTCTCTTCTTTCGCGAGACAAGAAGCTTTCTGGAGTCTTGGGTGGATATCTTGGTTTTCAAGTGTTTTTTTTCGTCGTTTCTGCTTTGCGAACGTTTCCTAATAGCGCAACTTTGCTTTTACCGGTTCGTTCGGTGTATTTTGTCATGACCTCGCAGCAACGATCCGCTAAATCAGCAAAAGTGAGCTACTCGATAAAGTTCCAGAATAACGAACAAAAATCGTTGATCTTCGAATCGCTGTAACTTGGACGGAAAAAATCGTAGATCGTCCCGACTGTGCTCATTTTGAAAGGTAAAGTCTCTACTTTCGAGCAGTGGAATTCAACTTTTTGGCAAAATTACTTGGTCGTGCAAAACGAAACGAGAAACTGAAGCTACTTTTATACGTTGGAAGATACTAAACAGAGGAAGAAACATCGATATTCGGACAGTTGTGACTTCGTGGAAGAAACTCGTATAATGTTCTCGCTGCGCTCATTTTAAAGGGTGATGTTTCTGCTTTCTTATTCTGGGATTCAATTCTTCGATGAAACTATTTTTTGTTCTAAAACGGTGCGACAAACTGAAGCTGCGTCTACGCATTCGACGTTCTACAAATTGAAACGTCTCTATGGGGTTTAAACAATTTTTTTGTCGATTCGTTTCAATGTTATCTGATAAAGAGAAGAGGACACTTCCCCCCGCAAGACCACATTGAAATGAATCAGAACAAAAACGATTTAAACTGCATTTGTTCACGAATTTCGAAATGGGAGAAGCAATCGATTACCCTGTCTTCCACCAACGGAACTACTCCCCTAAAAAAACGCCGTCCAATATTAAAAACGCGAACAGAATCCCCTAAAACAGGAAACATTTAGACGCTGTTTAGAGGATGCCTTCTCAAAGAAATCAGCTCGCCGAATCGAGTCGATCGATTTCGCATAAAAAGGCAACTGAATTGATAAAATAAAATTGCTCGAGACACCGGCAGTCTGGCCCGGCCATCTCGCGGCGAGAGCATCTCTGCCGGCGCAATTCCCTCGAAATGAAACGGCGCACATAAATGCATAGCAAGTCGATGGTTTTTCAACGGCGCGGTCGGTCACGATAATGGATCCGCCGCGGTTTATTTAAACAGATAGCGCGGCGCGTCTCGCGTTGCCGGATCCTCCAGGACCTGTTCCCGATGCACGAGTTAACCAGACGTTCGCGATGATAGGTTAGGGGTCTCGGAGCACGGTTCAACGTTGACCATCCATTGGCTCCGGGTCCGGTGCTCTGTAATTATGCTCGCCAGAGAGACCACGGCCGCGGCATCCAGACGAGGCCGGACGGCAACGAGAAACAAAAATAGGAAATAGCGAAAAACAGCATCCTGCCGAAGTATGCCGTATCACGGACCGCGAATTTATGCTGGATCTGCCAAACGGTACGACTTGCAAAAATCGCCGAAGACGGTGCACAATGTTCGAGATAAAAAACTGAAATTATTCAAGGTTATCCAAGACCCGTCTAACTCTAGCTTGAAACGCTCGAAAGATCGGTTCTTCTGCTATTAGGAGTGCATAGTGTCGATAAGTTTCGCCTGCAAACGCTTGTTTCGTTTATCATTTTTTTTAACACGTGCATTTTCTCCCACGTTCGAGGAACTTCGTCCAAATTCAGTCTACGAATTTCCGGAATATCCGCACGAAGCTATTTAAAATTCCGCGACGAAGGAGCCGATTCAACGCGGATTTTCGTTGCTCGCTTTATTTTCTCTGGAATAACACCTTGAACGGCGCTGGCCGGGAGAGAGAGAGAAAAAAAACGGCGAATTTCGTTCGGACCAGGGGAAAAAGGAAGACACGTCGGCGCGCTGACACGGTATTCCAAAGCCGTGAACCGTGAACACACGACAAGAACTGGCAGATTTAGACTCCCTGCTTACCGGAGGCAATCCTGAAAGCAATTACCGAATTTCGACCACGTAGACACGCCCGGAGCAAAAGGAAGACGAGAGAGAGCGCGAGAGCTCTTAACGTTGCCAGTTTCATTTGGAACCTGCTGTTGCGGCTTGATCATGATAAGTTCCTAATTTGAACGGGCAATTTGGTACGACCGCGAGCAGAATATTTCGTTCCTATTGATAGCGATGCAGGTACTGCGGGAGATTGAACCGCGCTCGTTTCTTTCTTTCTTTCTATGTGCGCCGAGAAACTTCGTTGGCTGCGATTCGCCCGGCATCGAAATTCTAAGCTCTTTATTCGCGGAGAGGGATGCAGTTTCCTCTCGCATTCTTCCCATTCGCTCTCCTATGTTCTTGCCGGTGTTTGGAATTTTTTCACCGGAAGCGTTGCCGGACCGCGGATCCTCGCGCATTTATGCAAAGATTTATGACGAACGCTGAATAAACGTTTTCCACGTAATTTCATTGCTATGGTAAACCTAATTCTGGGAACCTTTCTGCACGTTTTGTTGGGAGAAACTCTAGCAACTTGTTTTTACAACGTTTCTAAATCGAAACAAAAGTTGATTCTTCCGTTAACAAAATTTTGGGACGAAAATAAATTCATCCCTCGTCCGGGGGGATTAAAGAAGAAACTGGAACCGCCGCGGGCAAGAAATTAAGATGAAACGTCGAAGAGGACCTACTGACGGAAGAATAAATAATTCAAGCATTCGGCGACCGAATGAATGCTGTAAGAAAATGATGCACAGTTTGTATACGCCGCAACGCTGCATTAATTCAAGAGCGCTTTTCTATTTGGGTTGCAGCGTTCCGCGGGATTTTCGCGCGGCGCCCCGGCAAAAGAAAAATTCCCTAAACGCATAAATAAAACCGCGAATAAATTATTCAGGTATTCAGTTGTATAATGCCGCGGGAAACCGTCTCAACAGGTATGCAGCCCGAACGGAGGAAGAATGCGCGGCACTGTATTTATTCAGGAGCCCTTTTTACAGATTTTATTCCGACGGAGTCGCTTTGGAGCGTCACGCCGCGGAATTTTATAAATGCACGGCAACGTTCCCAGCTCAAAGTAATGACAAATGATGCGAGACGTTTTCATTCGTTCGCCCCGCGTTCAAATCCGTCGCTCGCGGCGGAGTTTTTCGCGCGCAAGAATTCTGTTATTTTCTCTGCGGAAATTTCGCGAGCTCGTTCTTTCTTCCTCTCTCTCTCTCTCTCTCTCTCTCTTTCTCTTTTCCTAAAATTTTATCTCTCTTCTCCGATGCATTCGTACATCCGCTATCACATTTTTACAAATCTTCCTTTTCCTTTGTTAAAATGCAACGATAACGCTTCGCACAGGTTTGCCATAGGTAGATCGCATTCTCTCTGTTTCTCTCTTTCTCTCTCTCTCTCTCTCTCTCTCTCTCTCTCGTAAAATAAATTCGACGGCATTTCAATAATTTCGGAGCGCGTGAGACCGACAGATTAAACTCCCACCGCACTCCAGCCAATCCAGAAAGCAATTACCGAATTTCGACGTAGCCGCTCCTTCGCTCGAACTAACAAAAGGACCTTTTGGACCCTTGCCCTCTCCTCTCTCCCTCGCTCTCTCTCTCTCTCTCTCTCTTTCCTGCTCTCCTTCTCTTTCTTTCTGTCTCTCTCTCTCTCTCTCTCTCTCTATTTCTATCTGCCTCACTCTCTCTATTTCTCTCTCTGGCGCCGCTCAATCCCGAATGTTGCTGCCACTGTGCTTTGTGTGAACGCGATAAGAGGCTGAAACGAGACCGGATTGATAGCGTCGAAATCATAAGAGTCGCGATATTTTTCTTCCCTCGCGACTTTGCCCTCCGATTCGCCTCTGTTCACCGAATTACTTCTCCTTCTGTGACTTATCGCAGATTCACACCTACCAGCGATTGTCTCGGGGATTTTCGTTGAAATCTGTGGTTCGTAAATGGGGATTTTGTCGCAGATTCTTTTGTTTGTGCAGCGGTTTTAATTTAACCTTGTGGTCAATTTAATAATAAATGGACTGGATAAGTCTTTTTACTTTGTTTAATAATTTTGTACATACTTGTACATATGAATAGTAAATTTTGTATATTTAAAATAAATAATAAATTTCTACACATCTCCTATTTTAGAGTACGTTCCCTTCTGTCTATTTATTTATTGCTCACTGTATTCTCAGAACATTCATTTCAAAAATTCATACCACTTGTCTCTTTTGTCTCGTCTTTCATCTATTCTAATATCAAACGCATTTATCTTCAAATTTTTGCAATTCGGAGTCGCTGTCTAAGCCGATTGAATTTCGTTCCATCGAACAATTGCAATTTCGTGCAAGATTTTTATCTCGCCGTACAAAAAATGTCAGCGAACTTTCCAAAGCGTGACAAACGCATCGACGAATTCCCAAATCGACGCAACCACCGGTTGCATTATTAAAAGTTGCCAAAAGCGAGCCGAGCAAGCCAGGCGAGAAACGATGAGCCTTTGCTTTTATTCGACCTCGGCCGCCAATGTACATAATCTCGCCGTTACCCCAGACCCTTAAAACCCAGCTCGATCCACTGGTCGACTGTCTGGCGTCGAATAGGAACGCGCGGCAACGCGCTAATCCGTAAAAATTGGCGCATTGTCGGGCCAGGCCGATAACAAGCGTCAAAAGCAGTCGACACCCGAGGAACACGTTCGCCGACAATGATTCCGGTCGGCGAGACAGTAATTTTCACGAGCCGGAATGCCGGAGATATCGTTTCACGGGTCACCGAGTCGGCTCGGGTCGTCGAATCGGCGTCTTACGCGACGAAATGGTGCGCGGCCGTAAATATTCGCGGACGATGCGTTCCGCGGTTTAAATCAGCGCGACGCGAGACGACTTGGCCGTGCCCTGTCAAAGCGACACGGGGCCAACGTTTGTCCCGGTTATTATCGGCTTAAGTGTACAGCGAACAAATGTTATTGCGTCGTAAATACAAGCTTGTACGTTGCCGCGGAGCCCGAGCACTCGAGGTATCGCGTTTCAACCGGGCGCAATATGCTTACACGACGGAGTGATACTAATCAGCCCGAGTGTCCGCGCCCCTTTCCATTGTGTCAAACCATTTATTACCGGCGGAGTTTCATCCTCTTACCACCTCGGACCGCGAGCTTTCTACGTGCATCCCGCGATGGGTTAATCACACGTTTCGACCGGCGAGCACCGTCTTCTTGCACAACCATCATCGAGGATCGTTTCAATGATGCCTCCTCGACGAACGCGGAATCCCGGCCCACGCTCGTTTGTTTTCGATGGCTGATTGAATGCAGCAGAGACGAAAAATTGAATACGGAATAGTCATTGATAGAAGGTTGATTTTTATTAGGAAAAGCGAACTTTCGTGTGTCGCGGTTGCAAATAACCAGCTGACGTATTTTGTGGGTGGGCTTGATTGCGTTATATATCGATCCGAATAATTCGATGGGCGTCAGTAAGGGAGACATTACAATGGACAATTGTGGAACAGGAGCCTTGCGAATTCAAAAGCCTCGCGACTCGTTTTTATAGTTACCGATTTCCAACGATTATAAAAACGTGCTGCAAGGCACGAATAATCGTATCTCCTCTTCCCAAATTGTCCATTTTCGTGTACAATCTGACATTACCGTATCGGGAAAACTGGCGGTTGACTTAGCGTCAATTTTTCTAGAAAAAACCACTGTAATTATTCCAACAGCTACGATTAACAAACATTGAGGAAACAACGAATTGTTAAATATTTCCCTAGATATTGCCGATATCTAGCGACAAACGCGAAGAGGTAATTGTTCGCGTTCAACGTTCGAGAAAGTCCGCGCTTGGATTCTACGCTACAATACAGGACGGAGGTTATCGCATAAACTTTTCAGACGATGACCTACATACCACCCACGCGTTGCATACACACACACGCACACACATAGACATACGGAAGTGCACGGGGTTCGGTTCACGGAACCCGCAGCGCGTATCTTTCCCATTTAGTGCTGAATTTCTTTCCGAAGACCTCGCGAAGCTGTGTTTCACCGAAGAAAAAACCGTCGAACTACCCTGCTGCCGGGGGTTGGTTTCGCGCAAAGAATTAAATCCGGGAGGAATTTCACCTGCCCGCGTTTCCTGCGCGAGCAGGAAGTAACAGGAAACGGCACGGTAATTAATACGGCTTTTTAAAGTTTAGCGCGAGCTTCTTTCCCCGCATACTTCCCGAGTTGAACGTTTTATGCAGAAATTGCTGCGACGCGTCCGGCAAATTATCTCTGTCGCCGTTTGTTTCAACTTTTGCTTACGACGCTTTTAACCTGGATCGTTGAACGACGGAAAGATGCGTTTCAGGGAAAATTTGAAACAGAGAATCCACGTTAACCTTTAATACCGATTAACCTTTTCCCGAATCACTGGGAAAATAATTTGCACACAATTATATTATTATATTATTATTGTAGGTATTATTATATGTTATTGTAGGTTATATTATGAATTATTATCAGCTGATTCTCAGCTGAATAGCTCAAATAAACCTCCGGTAACTAAAATATCAAGAAGCACAATTGTCCACAATTTTAGCACGAAACTTGCAAGGGCGGTGAACGAAAAAGTGGAAGGTTATGGAAAAAGAATTTCGTCAGTGGGTTAAAGACGGCATGAATGGAACGTCGACGGAGGCGTCACACTGACGAAATTCTTCGGTGAATATTCATCGGAGCAACGCGGGAAAAAAACGATGAAAACGAGGGAAACGGGTCTTCGGTTCCGAGGAAACGGAGCCGTCACGTGAGGCCGTAGGAAACGGTCACTCGTTACCGGTGTAACGACCCCGTGAAACCTTAAAGAATCCATAGTCCGGCCACGTGACCGGTGCACGTGCACACGGTCACACGTGAGCCGGCCGCAATTTCCCAGAGTGCCGGCACGGCGCCCATAGGATCGCGCTGACACTCGGAAACTTTTTGAATAATTTACCGCGAATGTAGAGCGAACTCGAGACGGACAGGGACAAAGTGAACCAACACGTCGCGTCGGGCGCCGTGTGTCCGGAGAACTTCATTTTCACTTCGGTCGTTTCTTCGCCCGGAATTGTGTGCTCACCGCGATCTTTTAAATTCATTTTGGGCACCTGACCCCGGGATTGCAGGAACGAGAGACCACAAGGATATTCGACTGCGTTGATTTTCTTTTTTTTTCTGGATTTGATTTATTAGCGGTGGACTGTAGATTTTTGTGCTAAATAACAAACGAATATTACGGTCGAAACGAATCAATTTAACGGGAAAATTCGTTTGATATCTGTTCCAGGGACCTTAGCCACAATCAAATCGCCACGATCGGTCCGAAAACGCTCCGAGGAATTTCGACCCTGAAGCACCTGTAAGTATCCCCCTCTTCTAATTAAAAATACGAAGCTTTAGTTAAATTGTATCACATGGCGATGTACGAGAAATCTAGCAAAATTTTCACTGTCTCACTTTTCGCTGTTAAGTCCTTAAGTCCAATTTTATTATAATATATTCCATAATATATTATGGAATATGTATATTTCCAAATTGTGAATTTTTGTTTCCAAAGCTGAAGGAAAATTACGTAAAATTCGCTGTATTTCTAAAAAATTTGATCCACCGCGATCCGCGTACAATTCACAACGCGAACAACGAATATTTCCATTTAATTTCTCGCTTTAATCAGAAACGAAAGGAGACAGAGATAACTCAAATATTTTTGCAAGGATTAAACCAAGCGAATCACCTTGAAGCGAATTAATCCACCGAGATTTTGGAGCATCGACATCTAGCACGTGTCCGGTATTTACAGTAGAAACGTCGGAATATCGGAGAATTTTTTTTCCCCGCCGCGTAATTAGAGGGTGGCGCGCGGGCGAGAAAGAGTTAAGCTAGTGGAATAGGTCGACGATAACACTCCCGTTTAAGTAGCGTATCCCGACCCGGTCGGACACGTCGATGGCAGACAAGCTAATTCCGCTTTAATTTAAAATTCTCTGCCGGCATAAAAAGGATAGTCCGTAGGAATATAAAATGGACATTTGATCGAAGCTCGTTTCCACGGTGCTCGTTTTCTTGCTTTACCGCCTTCTTCGGGGCCGGTCCATAATTAATTACCGTTCTTGTTCCTTTACGGGTTTTTACGACGGGACGTTTCTCCTCCCCCCTATACCCCTTCCCCGAATCCGCCATCGACTCTGTCGCGATATTAAAATATAAAAAGATCCAGCTGCCTCGCGAATCGGTGCCAGAAAAGTACGCGGGGTGAGGGGGGGCGGAGGCATAACTTATTGATACAAAATAGAAGGCAAACTCGACGGGGATATAAAATGTCGATGAAACTTTGAAACCGTGAAATTCGGAGAGGGGTCCCTCATGAATCATTCGCTTTTCCAGGCTGCTCGACAACAACGTGCTGACCTGCATAGATGAAGCGTCGATACGGGAGCTGAAGGATCTGGAGATACTGTAAGCGAATGAAATATTTATCTGAACATTTTTTTTTTACGAGCAGCACCATTTAGAAATTAAGCCCGATAACGGGATCGATAGACGTTCTCTCTCTCTCTCTCTCTCTCTCTCTCTCTCTCTCGAGGTAGAAGTGCATGCGGGAATGAAATCCGAATTTTGATAAATTCGGACGATAGAACTTTTCGTAACGATAGAACTTTTCGTGTACCAGTCGCTAATTTGCTTCTGTCCCATTGTTCGCAGATTGCTGAATAATAATAAACTGACAACGCTGGGAAAGGAAATGCTGAACGGCTTGTCGCACTTACGAACGCTGAAGCTCGTTGACAACGCGCTGGCTTGCGACTGTCATTTGGCCTGGTTGGCGCGACATTTGAGAACGTATCCTCGACTGGGTCAGCACACGCGTTGCGCCTCGCCAGGTCACTTGAGAGATCAAAATATCGCGGACATCGAGGTATACGTATTATTGAATAATCCGCTTACAACAAGACCAAAAATTAAATTCAAAATTGTCTCTGTCTTTCCACCATTGGTAATTTTTAAAGCATCCTGAACTAACACTCTTTCGAACAGTTTCAATATCTTTAACATCTGCCAAATTGGTCTCGAAATGCTTCCGTTCCTTTCTTCACCATTCTGAATTACAGCTTGTCATTCACGTAGATACACGAAATTCGCAGTGTAGGTGACAGCTGCGACTCGTTCTCGAACGGGAAAACCCTTTAGTGCGAAAAAAGAAAGGTGATACGCGAGAAGAAGCGAAGTAAAAATTATACGAAAGAAAATTGTATCGCTTATTCGTAAAAATCGGTGAAAATAGTATCGCTGGACGCGGCGGTCGAAACCGTGGCGTTCCCCGTGACTAAAAATTCTCGCATTTCCACAAAGGAGCAGGATTTCAAGTGTTCGGGTCCGGTTGAGCGCGCAGGATCAGAGTGCAGCGCGGAACCGCACTGCCCGCATCCGTGCAAATGCGCCGAAGGTACCGTCGACTGCAGGGAGAATTCTTTGACGAAAGTGCCCACCCACCTTCCCGAGGACACCATCGACCTGTTCGTAAACGAGTTTGTCTACTGCCTTCGCCGCACAGTTACCAAATCTCTGTCGCCGTGAACTTCGGGACGCGATATTGATGTAAACTTTGCAATTAACCACGCCACTGTGGTGCACCGTTGCACCGAGTTCCCCGAACTCCCTCGCGGGAAACTCGGTGCGTTCCATTTTTGTCGGGCAGTCGTTCTCCCCGGGCCCCGAAATTCACAATAGAACGCTACGTCTACGCTTCCTGTGTCGAGGAATTGTGAAGTTAATTTTTCATGCGAAATTCTCTGCGATGCCTCGATGCTTCGAATCAACGAAAATTCTCTGTTTAAAAATTCAAATGAAAGAATTGCGATTTTTTTCTTAGTATACACAGATGTTCCTTTCTCGTTGTGTAGTCAACTTTGCACTTGGAAACGATTTTTGCACGAAGATCCGTAGTTTATTATATGCATATTTATAATGGACTGCTACCGCGGTCTAAAATAATCGAATAAACTGGAAACTCGATGTTTGTATTTATCGTTAGCCTGAGGATATCGATGTTATTTCCAACAAACAGAATACGGTCGTATGTTTTTATGAAAATAAAACCGTCGACACGAGAAATAAAATCATGTATGTCCATGAACATTCGCAATGATCGCAATTCCTCATTGGTTGAAAAATATCGAACAATATTTCACTAAATCACAGTAGCGAATTTAATCGACGGAGGGATCATTCTACGCAAGGAAGACGTTGCCCGGAGCACGAATTAATTACAACGAAGAACCAAGTCGAAACGAAATTGCCCGTCGGCTAATTACGCCTCGCGAAATCCGACAAAAATCCGGGGGAAACGTGTCAGGCGCGTTCTCGAAAACTGTCTCGACAATTGCGTTCGTTTATCCCGACGCTCTCGAATCCGTCGATGGAAAACCGGGCTCGTCTCGTTTGGCAACTGTTGCTCGGCGGAAGCGAAACAGCCTGCGCCGATCGGCAATCTGTTAATTTATTTGTTCTCTCTCTCTCTGTTCGATCATTCACAGCCGGTTAGAGCAGAACAAAATCACGGAGATCCCGCCGAAAGCTTTCTTCCCGTACCGGAAGCTGCGCAGCATGTGAGTGACGTTCGCAATTTATCCGTTTCTGGGGATTCCGTATTAAAATCGCGAAACCGGCGCTCGACCGGGAGATAACGTATCAACCTTTCATATGTTCTTTCTGTTTATCCGTCCGCAGCGACCTCAGCAACAATCAGATCAAAAAAGTGGCGGCGGACGCGTTCCACGGGCTGAAATCCCTGAAATCACTGTACGTAGACGAACCGAGCGAGATAAAACGCGTGGCATGTTTCGCGATTATCGACGAATAACGTTTGCCCGAAACCGTGATTTTCAGCGTGCTGTACGGAAACAAGATCAACGAACTGCCCAGCGGCCTGTTCCAAGGACTGCACCAGCTGGAAGTGCTGTAAGTCGATAACAAACTGTTTTTAGTTGCCGCTATATACAAATTCGCTGAAATTCGGTGGAATTCAAATTATTATTCAGTAGAAATAGAATAGAAGCGTACAATTGAACTCGAACTATTCAACGATGTCACATTCATACGGTAGAAGTGATCGGGAAACGATCGATTGTCGTCCGACTCCGCGCTCTTCGATTCCATTTAAAAAAAAGTAGGACGATTAAGCGGTCCGCAGGAAGTTCTCCGTACAGAAACGTATTCCTTTAAATAACGTGCCTTCGTTTCACATTTTCAAGACTCACGGTTCCCGTGTCTTTGACGTTTGTCGTCCCTTTGTTAATATTCGACGTCTCCCGTTCCCGTTTTCCAGATGAAACTCCGCGACTATCGTAAAGTTCCCTGACTACGCAATCTCCTCTTTCTTTATCTTTGAGAACGAGAGCCGACCCTTCGGAGGTATCCAAAGGGCGGCGCCACTCACAAAGCGAAATCTTCTTTCCAGGTTGCTGAACGCCAACGAGATATCCTGCATACGGACCGATCTGTTCCGCGATCTGACCAGCCTGACGCTGTTGTCCCTGTACGATAACAACATCAGATCCCTGGCCAATGGAACTTTCGCCAATCTGCAAAGCATTAAAGCGCTGTTTGTATCCCGCCATTGAACCGTTAATTTATACAAATTACCGTGGCTTTAGCGCGAGCGCGCGCGCGCGCCCCTTTCCACTCCGCAACCAATCGAATCGCGAATCCGTGTCACCGAGCTTTTTGTTAATTGTCCCGGAGCATTCTGGACAATCGCGCGACCCTTGCTCGTTCGATACCATCTCGACGGGCTGCTCCGGCCTCCGAAAAACACGATCGCGCCGTTTCTTTGTCTCTTATTTTTCACGTCGTTAGAAATCGATTACAGCGAACACCGCCAGCGGCGACTTGTTCGCGGGCAAATGTTAGTTAACTAATTTCTCTCGACGGTAACCCTTGCGCAGTTTAACAGAGCTTGGGAAAAGGATAATTAATTTTTAATTCGTTTCTGCGAGCATGTACCGAGAAGTTATCGGAGTAAGGGATTTGTATCGTTAATAGGAATGCCTGCACGCTGCTCGGGTGTCCTAAAATTATGTTGCGGGAAACGAGAAAATCCTGGGGTCGTTCGAAGTAACCGTTTCCTCAGCGAAAATGCAATCGGCGACTTTCTTTCTGAGAAAGAGCAGATTTCGCGAAAAAGAGGAACATTTCTAATGTTTCTTTGTAACGTACGAAAAGAGAAGTTCCGCGTCTCGAATGGAAAATGTGCAAACAAAGGCAAAGATTGAAACAAGCTCGTGCCACGGAGCGCAGAAAATTACCGTATCACAACGTCTGAAAGTAATTATCTCGGACAGGGTAAAGGAGATTTTTTTTCAAAAGGGAAACGATGCTAATTTTCCGTCTGGTTTTCAAAAAGAAGGACATTTTCCGCAGCTCGCCGGCGCGGAATTATTTCCAAGGGGTCGCGTTTAAGGAAGGGCTTGGCGCGTTAAGCTGCAGAAGGGTTAACCTAATTTTCGTCAACGTGGAAATTACGGGGAGAATTTCGCGCGACGCTGCCGCGCGACGAGAGAAAAAGATCGTCCGCGAACCGGCGGCGGCGGTAACAAGGGTAGAAAAGGGCTTAAAAGAAAACGTTCCTCGATTTCTCGCAGACATTTGGGAATGAATCCGCTGATCTGCGATTGCAATCTGCGTTGGCTGAGGGCGTATCTGGAGGCGCACCCGATCGAGACCTCCGGGGCTCTGTGCAAGTCTCCGAAGAGGGCGCAGAAGCATGAGATCAAATCGATGCCGGAAAACGAGTTCAAATGTAAGGGTAAGCACGACTCGATTCTTCCGATATTTTTTCTCTTCTATACGCTTCGCCGGAACACGGACACAGGTCGGTAACACCACGTCAACATGTTTTCACGTCATCCGGAGCATCGTCATTCTCCTCGAACCGATGTACAAGGTGCGGTCGAGTTTAATTTAACCGACGGAAAATACGTACAGTAATGTCTCTCTAATCGACGCTCAGATTGTCCACAATAATGGACAATTTGGGAAAAGGAGATACGATTATTCGGCTCGTTTTTATAATCATTGACAATCGATAACTGTAAAAACTAACTGCAAGGCTCGAACAATCGTATCTCCTTTTCCCAAATTGTCCATTTTTGTGGACAATCCGAGCGTCGGTTAGGGAGACATTACTGTAATCTGTCTCTTTAGAAATCTTTCATGCGTCGTACAGATGATTTTATCGATTCACCTTGTATATTGTAGCACTTGGCATTATCATTCGCTAGATCACGATTTAGACAAAGGGACGATCGATTTTTCCAACACCCTTAAATCGAACGACCAAGTGCGGGATCCTTGAAAATGAATAGAGAAAACTCGATGAAAAGAGAATAGTCGAAGGTATTGAAACGCACTTCGAATTGATCGCTAGCAATTGCTCTCGGCGTTTCGCTGCAGTCACAGAGTCGCATTACAAGTGCGCCGAAATGGCAGCGGTAGAAAAGCCCGTTCTGTGTTCCTCAATTAAGAGAAACGAGTTGCAGCGGCTGCCGCGCAACAAAAGTTTCGAGCACGCTTCGGAAAACCGGCGCCAATCAGAAAATCTATCCATGGTCGGCATCAGAAATTCGCGAGGGCTCCAAGGATACAACGTATACACGGTGTCCGTTCGTAAATTTCCAAACGAATGATAATAGTTTTTACGATGTATAATAGTTTTTAAGAAGATATCGTTTTGATTGCAAATGATCTCTACTAAATAATTATGTAAAAAAGATTACATGCATCCATTTAATAAAAAAAGGTTGGTCTATACAACTTGGAAAGGTCACGAATAAAAAACAAAAGTTCACCTCGTAGCTGACTATAAACCGTGTAAATTATTCCCGATAAACTTTTTCGTGTCTCCAACCATTCGCGAGATATTTGCTTGGATATTTATGGACGGGGACACCCGGTATACACTTGACGAACAGTGGAGCGCGTTCGTACACTTTTACCATCCCCCTGCGATAGGAGAATTGCGCAAGGCAGAGAGCGAAGAGCGAACACACCGAACATCTGTAAGTTCCAGGAACTTTTGAGGTAGCTTCGAGAATTGGTCCAGACTCGATATCTTCGACGGTTATCTATCTACGATGGGAACGGCTTGAAACTGTCCGGAGCTTTTTTAATAACTCCTCGCTATTTGATAACTCCTCCCGTCAAATTAGGACGTTCGTCTGATTGGCATCGATGGTTTCGTCGATTTTCATTCGCTCGAGGGGGCTTGAAATTGTCAGTTTCCGTATCGATCCTGCAGGTAGATCGTGGTGACCGTCGCCAAGTGACCGGCGTGTCGGTCACGAGCAAACGAAGCCCACGGAGAAAGTGGCCACGCGACGCGCACCCGGTGTTATTAAACGGCGAACGCAAATTACCGATATAATTACGCGCGTGTACCGCGGCGGACAATTTGTAACGCGGCGTATAATGTGATGATAAATCACCTGCGCGCCCGTACACTCATACATAAACATATTCACCTCGCCGTAGCACATGACATTCAACACTCAATTAACGTGCAAGCGAGAGAGAGAGAGAGAGGGAGAGAGAGAGAGAGAGAAAGAGAGAGAGTTAGCTGCACACGGCGGGGTGGGAAAGAGAGAGAGGGAGGGCACGGTATCGCGCCGATGCTTAATTTAATGATATCGCCCCGCTACTACTGTTCATTATCAAAATTTATCGTCGCGACGTTAACATGGTATCCCAGCGTGCCTGACCATGCCGCTTCGACTTCGATTAATCAACGGAGCTTTTTAGAGGGAACGAACGGCCAAGAACCGACTCCCGAGCTCCTCGATTTGCCAGGATTTCGCCACAAAATTCACCGCCAAATTTTTATCCGTCCATTCCGATCATCGTCGGCCGTTCAGTCTCTTCTATTGGCAAGTCGCGATAGGATTTTTACGCGAAATCAAAATAATTCTGCATCGAATGCGCGCAATACAACTTTCGCTGGTTTACCGAATTTCCATAAATTATCAGGAATTATTCCAGGCTGGAAGTTCGGTCGAAAAAGCGAGCGGACCGAACGGACGACTTAATGTTATCGCAGCCGCGGCGAGAGCAGCGCGAGCTAATAAAAACCGACTAATTTAGCGGTGAAATTGATCTATTAAAATTTAACGTTCGTGTAACGTTCGTCGCGAGCAAAGCGTAGGCAACGGTTCGAGAACAGCTCGGCTCGTAGCCGGTGCCTTGTAATCATGACCAATTAAAATTCTGTTATCTCGCCGCGAGCTGGCCGCTTTTAGTTACTCTTTAACCCTTTAAGGTATTGCCCGAATATCGACGGTTGAATCGTTTCTTTTGCCGGCAATTATTCGAGCGGTTATCTTGTTTAGAGCTTGTTCTAATAAATCCAATGATTTACCGTTACCCGACACGCTCGCCGTTTTCTCCGTCGAGGTTCTACCGTGGGAGGCCGTTGTCACGTGTGCGTGACAATCGCATAATACCACCATTAACATTAAAATGCAAACGAAGTCGCGCAGCCGTTGTGTCCGTGCAATGCCTGGTGCGCGATCCAGTCTTCGGGCCGCTTATTGCGCTCTTTTGTAACACCCATGAATGCCTAATTAAGAAGATTTATTATGTTGAACGCAGGGGTCGCGAATTAACATGCCGGCCAACGATGATTTATAAGATCCGCGTCGAACAAATATTTGCGATTTTTAACAGTCGCGCGACGTTGCGAAGGATCGTATAACATCGCGCCAGGTTTCTTGCGAAGTTTCTTTTTGCAATTCGCGTTTCGTCGTCGATCGCGCGACACGCGGATTTTCAGCTTTTCAGACAACGATTAAACAAGGATTCAAACGCGTGTCATTCTTATTTAACTTTTTACAATAATCTGTCGAGTATAAATGTTAATTCGTTCTTTAAAACTTGTCCCGTTTTCTTCAAGTCCGAATAAAATACCCTTCTGTTATTATCGAGGTTTAACGCGTCGAGCGCCGAGTATCAACCACAAAAATTCCCCTCGCAATACGAAAGTCGTTTATTTAATGAAACCGAAAGTTGCGAAGAAAATCGGCAAAGCGGCGCGAGTCAAACCTCACGATTCCAAAAGCGTTGCGAATCTGTTGCGAATCGCGGGCGACCGAGCCGAGGGTAAGAAGCGGCGCGGTTATGACGAGCGTGCGGCAATCTCGGCATGTTCAAGAATAAGAACGGGCCAGCTCGTGTTTCTCCTTTTCACGGTTGTATATTTCCTCTAATTGCGCCGGGCCGCGCACAGAATATAATCGCGTTCCCCTGTCGCGGCTGTTTCCGTGCGCACGCCAACTTCTGCGGAGTAAATGACACCGGAAAATAAACACTTCGCCGGCATGAAACCGTGTCGCATATACAGGGTGTTAAAAAACGAGTGATTCGAGTCCTCGAGGATTTATAGTACTCGCCGTGGCGAGTGAGGGTGACAAAGAATTCGAGAAAATTTACTGTGCACAAAAATGGACAATCTGGGAAGGGGAGATCCGATTATTCGAGCCTTGCGGCTCGTTTTTTATAGTTATTTTATTTATTTTTAACTATAAAAACGAGCCGCAAGGCTCGAATTGGGCATTTTATGCGCAATGTAAGCGCGAATTAAGGAGAAACCCTCGGAGCATTTTGTCCTGCGTTTCCACGATCCGTACGAATCACCGTGCCATCGCAATTCTCGTGTATAGGAATCTGCGTGGTTCATCGAGATTCCGACGTGAATCGTCAAAGTGAAAGAAAATTCGCGTCGAGATCATCGATGATCAAGGGTGGGTCGTATTCGAGTCACCGATTAGAGCAGGCAGACACAGGTGAACAGGGTTCCATTTAATCGCTTTAATCATTGGCTCGTCGAAAGAAAGTGCGTTCCTGTGGTCGTAAGAAGGAAAGGCAGATCAGAGAGAGGATCGTTTGAAATGGAATACATCCGGTTCTATGTACTTAGGCAACGGTGAGCTCTTAACGAAGAGGGCCGGCGAGTGCATCCTGCCGGGAGAGTGTCCCGCTCCGTGCACCTGCAAACGCGCCACCGTCGATTGCTCCAACAAGAAGCTGACTTCGATACCGAAGGAATTGCCGATCTACACTTCCACTTTGTGAGTAAATTCTACCTTCGACGTGCCGATAAACGATAACGAAATGCCGTTTGCAATAACAAATATTAGAACGCCTCGTCGATCCATTGCGGAGTTCGATGCATCTCGATGCATCTGTGCCGCGTGCGAATCCATGAAATGTAAGCCGGTCTCTTTTCGTTGACATTTTATTTGTCGATAATCGTCTGATCGTTCTTTTAAAATCGAACGTCAAAGGTTACAAGTTTATTGAAAAATTGTTCATGAAATTGTCTCGTTCGTGTTTCATCAAATTATTTGAAGTAATCGTTAAGATTATCGTTTAAAGAAAAAACCGGTTCGGTTATCGAGAAAATGGAGTGTTGATAAAGCATTAAGAAACAGCAATTACCGTTTCTGCTTTATTTCGAGACAATGTTTCGGTCGAAGAGATATTATACTCGATGTTCGCAAGTAGACTGCAGATTTTAAGCAAATTAAAATCGGATATTTTATACATTCGTATAAATTATCTCCCTCAAATTGAATAGATCGAGTGGAGAAATGTAACAGACTAAAGATGATTAAAGGCGCTGTTGAATTATTTTCAACTCTTTGAAAAAGAGTTCGCTGCTGAAGCACGTAATCTTGTGATTCAACGATTTTCATTTTGCATAAAAATCCGCAGGCTAACGACATCACACGGTTTCCACATTTCGAAGTATAAATACGAAGATTCGCTTACGTATCACCCGTCCGGTTGATTTATGAAGCTGAATATAAAAATCAGAAAAGCGTGCACCGGTATCCGTGGAAAAAGGTGTATCGCTGTATCGGTCCAATTAGCAGTTCATTCGACGCGACTGCACAGTTACGAAACGTCGATCAAACTGTAGTCCCGCGAACCATTTCGTGTTGATTCTAACATTGAATCGGCGCTCTCCGATTTTTCCGTGAATTAAATATTGATACAACGACGCGAGAACAATGCGGAACAATCGAACGCCGGCATCGAACGGACAATAGGAAACGCTTGCACATTGAAAACGTCACAATAAGCGTCTAACGTGATTCGCGTGCTCCGCACGGGAACGAGAGGATTGTTTACAAGCGCGGGAACAATGACCGGAGGAAGATCGATCGATCCGTATCACCGATCGAGGCGAGCCGTTCGCTCGGGGCGCGAGAAAATGAATTCAATCGTCCGACAGGATAATTATCTGATTAAAAGCTTGATCCGCGAGGTGTGCCGGGGGTGAGGGAAGGCGAGGGGGGGGGGGGATACGATCGAACGACGCCGAGCTATTATTCGAAATAAATTATTTGGAGCCGTTTAATGGATCGACGCCCCGGCGCGCGCGATTAATTGCTCCCGGCGTATCAGACGTTCGAGCGGACGCTAACTTTCTCGTTTCTGGCCTTTCTTTGTCCTCGACGCGAGCAGATTGTTGGCCGGCAACGAGCTAGAGAAGATCAAAGCGGACGGCCTGTTCGAGAAGCTGCCGGAGCTGCAGCATTTGGACCTCAGGATGAATAAAATCTCACGCATCGAGGCCTCGGCCTTCCAAGGGGCGCACAAGGTCACCGAACTGTAAGTCCTCCCTGCGACCGACACCACCCTCTTCCACCCTGCCGTCTTTTCCATTCTCATTTATACCCTGTGCTTTTTTACCGAGGCGGTCGTCCTTGATCGCGCGTGTTCCACCGACGCTTAATTGGACCGATAAACAACCCCCTCGAAGCCAAATTAACCCAAAATTTCTCCTCCATGGAAAAGTTTCCCATCTCGAGACTCCATGGAGTCGAATTGATTTATTCAACGTGCGCGACGATTATTAAGTTAAAATGTACGACACCGCCGCGTGTATGACTCGGTAAGCCGAAAAATTCCACCGCGAAGTCAAAGGGATTAATTGAACGGAATGAAAATTGAAGAGCCGGAACGTACAATAGCGCGGATCATCATCTTTTTCGTGGTATTTATCGGCGCTGGGAAACGGTGCGTCCGTGTGTTTCATTTTCGGGACGAATGAACAAACGAATGGAAATTTCATGGCTTTTTCGCCGGTAACAAATATTTGAAATTTTTTGGAAGACCAACGATAGAACCGCGGGGAATTCGGAATGGAGCACTATACGCTTAATCAATTATTGTTGCAACGGAAAGGGAATTTGCGTGCAATCTCCAGTGAATGGATCCGTAAAATTTGGGACAGTTGCAAATGCATCGCGAAAAGTCGCGGAATATGAAATCAGTTCGGATTACCGGCTGTTAAATATATTTGCGCAATTTTAATGCGGTGGCGGAAGCCATTTCGCGGCGAATTTCCCAACGAAAATGTGACAAAGAACGCTACTTTGTAATAATTATCGGAGAACAATGTTTTCTAGTAAATATTATCTTATAATCAATGTCGAAAATATTACTTCTCACAGCGTATTACCAAAAAATCCTGCATTTCATGGTAATTATCAAAAAGTATACCATCTTGTAAAAATTGTTAGAGAGCACCGTTGTATAAAAATTGCGAAAAAGTACCTCTTTTGATACAAAAAAATAGCGAATTTTGTGAATAGAATTTTCGAGTCCGCGAAAGGACGGTAAAACCGGCGATTTAAATCGCGGAAACCATGGCGGAGGAATTCAACGAAAATTGCACGATGATGGTCGGATTTTTCGTTAACATTTCGCCGGAATCGTCGTTCGGTTTCGTAATGAAACGTAACCCGCTGAGAAAGTCTGCGATAGCAGGGTCCGCGCGTTCGCTGCGTCGAGATTACTTGCGTTATTTGTGCCTAACTGGATCGGGACTTTGAAACGAGCTTTAACGAAGCAGAATAGGATTTAATTTTCAAAGGCAATTAACGGGACAATGGGTCGATTAATTAGATAGTCGACGAGAGAGGGCGGGCAGAGGCGGTGGTTCGCGCGCGCTTTTCGGCGCTGACGAGTGCGGGAACCGATCCAGAATATTGCATATCGCCGAAGAAAAACAAATTAGAGAGAGAGAGAGAGAGCAGCCTCTGTATTCGACGGTTGAAAAAAAGGTCCTTTGATCGCATTAAGCTCGGCCGATGCTCGCGTTGCCCCCTATAATACCGTCGTTGCAATAAAAGTCAACAAAAGTCGGAGCTAACTTTAATTTTGCTTTGTTGAAATTTCATCGAGAATTCCCGGGACGCGAACGGTACAAAAGTAATTGCGATACGTGACGCGACGGAAATTCGTTGAATCTGTTTACGGAAGAAAAATCAATTTACACGATTTTCGCGGAGAACTTCGATCGAGATGCGGGGGAGGAGTATCGATCGGTGCACGGTGCTGCGCGAAATAAAAACGTCGTTGCCCCGATAAATTATGCGAAAGATCGATACGGATAAACGCAGTTAATCAATTTCGCGTATTAACAATTTTTATATTCGCGTAGAATCCGATACGACCAAATGACGCGGACGTATCAACCGATCTAATAGTTCAACGTCAGCCCGGAACGCAGCCGGGCATTCATCTTCCCGCTCCTCGACAATTTTCGATATTCGATTTCGCTGCAGCTGCGATTTATTGAAAATTCACCGGCTCCCGTTGCGTTAATAACGAGTAATTCCGGCTCGATCCGTACATCGATTTAACGAACTGCCCCGCGTACGCGCTCGCGCCGCCGTGTTTCTTTTTTTTCGCAACGAAACGTTGTTCTTTGTGCAAAAATGTGCAATAACATTCCTTTGTTCGAGAGGCTCGGTTTTACAGAAAATCCAGATTCGAAATTACAATTTCAACCATGAAACGGCTGATGCGTCTCTATGCTCCGCTTCTTCGCGAATTGGACGAGTGCGATGAAATTTGTATTATTATAAATATCTTATATTCATTATTATATCATACAGGATTTTATGCAGGATTTACTCTTCCAGAAAATACAGATCGAGGGCACACTGTGTTATAGTAATCAACGATGCGTCTGCGCACGACCGACTTTTTCCTCGTTTTCGCAATCGTTGCAGAAGCAATGAGAATTTCTCTTTTCGTATTTTTGGAAGTCGATATTCTGTGTCGCGTTGACAGTCGTAGAAAACGTATAAAATACACGGTTGTATTTTATCAAGAATATATCGACGATATTTTATCGACAATAATTTATCGACGATATACATAAAATGCTGACGATTTTGTAGAGGGTGACCCATTTAAATCGATCCAGTAAAATATCTTCGAAACCGTCGACGATACTAAAAAATGTTCCGAACGAAATTCGAATGGTTTTAGGGGGCGCCGTATTAATCAGATTTAAAATAAATTCCCAATTTTATATTTTCATATTTCAATTATGTCGAGAACAAATACCTCGGTCGAAGAAATTGCATCCTATTATTATATTATTATATTATATGATGTATTATATTATACAATAATAATATATTTATATTATATTATATAGTAATAATAATACAATTATATTATATTATATAGTAATAATAATATAATTATATTATATAATATATTATAATATTATTAAAATTAAATTATATACACATTATATGCATCCTATAATTACTGCTAATTTTCGTGCAAGTAATTATTCGATGCATTTTCGCGGCGCATTCGCTACCGTAACGAGTGCATATTCCTTATCGGTGTCTCACGAAATAACGACCCGTTTCACAGACTCCTGTCGAATAACAAGCTGAGGGAAGTTCACAACAAGATGTTCACCGGCTTGACGAATCTTAAGACTCTGTGAGTAGAAACTTTTATGACCGTTCATAAAACGGTATCACTGGAGCACTCACTATATCCCTCGAACTTCATTTTCGCAGGAACCTCCATGGAAACGCCATCACCTGCGTTATGCAGGGCGCGTTCGATGAACTTGCACACATACGCACCATGTAAGTACCTGTTTTAACGACGGCTGACCATCTTATCCGTCACCGTGAAACTCGCGATGATTATGATTATTTACGATGATAAAAATCGCCTCCTCCGCTGGACCCGGCAGTCGTAAAACGTTATAGAAAATTCTGGTCGTCGCCGATTTCTATGCAAGCAACATTCCTTCGTAGCGTTGCTTGCATAAGAAATAAATTTGAGATTTAAGAAAAATATAAAAGCGAAAGAAGAACTTCTGAGCTGCTTAAGATAATTATTGTAAATAGCCCGGTTCGTTGAGAGAACGAACGTCCGGAAGGTCTCGATTATTCAAAAACACCGGTCAGTCGGAGTCGTCGACAGGAAGTTATCCGTGGTTGCACGTTGACAGACAGAATCTTCTGTCGACGATTAAAATGCATGGCAACGCAAACCGAATACCGAATCGATGCATAATGTCGCGGTTGATATCAGAGCGCGACAAGATTTCGCAACCCTGTAATATTATATCAGCTACGATATTACACCGTGTATATTTAATTCCAGCGGTATTTCACGGAGATTGTATAGGATGGGCCTCGTTAATATTTATTATCGTGTTAATACACAAGTGCAGCAACTTCCCTAACACGCTCCGGTAAAATATTTCCGGCTTCCGTGCGCATAATTAATGGCAGTTTAATAAATTGCTCCGTGTTTCCAGCAACATGCAAGGCAATCCTTTGTCGTGTAATTGTCATCTCGCGTGGTTCGCCGAATGGCTGAGGAAACGCGACATGTCTGGTGTGTTCGGCCACTGTCACGATCCACCGCGATTGAAGGACGCCGTTCTCAAGCATATTCCGCATCACGAGTTCAAATGCAACAGTAAGTCTCGCCGTGTTAACCAACAATTCGCTCGAAAACCTTGTCCGATTTGTCCGCAAAAAATTACCAAGTTCTTCGAATTCCGTTCGACCATTTTCAATCGCCGCAATCAAACGGAATTCCAGATGGTCGGTTCTGTTCCAGATGCATAAAATTACTGTACAAGATGATCTAGATTAGACTGTAGATGTGTCTAATTGTCTGTTCGAAGTACCATAATATCGACGATATTTTTTACAGAATTTTAAGTTCGATCGAAGTTCGCTGAAAGATCAAACATGTCTAAAAGATATTAAATTCATCGAGGAGGAAATTTGTGTCGAAGGAAACTTCTGTAAATCAAACGGGACGGAAATTTTAAACGTACATCTGTCTCGAAGTTTCGCTACTTTCCTATTTGGTTATCGCCGAACGTATTTTCCGATCGGAATTTCCAATCGCGTCGGAAACAAATAATCCTAGCTGCATCGTCCATAAAACTCGAACAAACGTGGTCCCGGAGCCTCCGCAAAACCCCATTACCTCGGCCATCCTCGAGAGAATGGCATCGTTAGCCGCGATTTCTGTAAAAGAGAGAAAGAACCGAGTGTCTGGAGCCGCGCGGAGCAATGTTCCTTTGATCTGCCGAATCGATTCCGGGATTAACGATCCGCCGTCCGTTTTACGAATCGCAGACGACAGCGTGGGTTGCCTAGGAGACGATTACTGTCCACCCCAATGTAATTGCGCCGGGTCAGTGGTGAAGTGTTCGAGGTCTCAGCTTACGGAGATTCCGCGTGGGATTCCGCCGGAAACCACCGAGCTGTATTTGGACGTGAACGAAATCAAGACGATTCAGCCGGAGCGGCTGAACCACCTGAGGATTCTCACTAAACTGTAAATAAAATACGCGTGCCGCTTTTCCCTTCGCACATACACACACACAGATACCTGCACAACTCGCCGGCAACATTTTCTTCCCGTCGAACGAAACGGCTCAAATCCTGCTCTATTCGGTTTCAGGGATCTGAGCAACAACCATATCGGAATGCTGTCGAACGACACCTTCAAGAATCTCACCAAGCTGTCTCACCTGTACGTTCGCATTCCGCCATCTTTCTTTCGCGACTTGATTCATCGACTGTCGTTAAAATTTTATGGCGCCGACGTTGTCTCTCGAATAGAGATTTCATGGATCTAGACAGTAGAGAAACATTTAGAGACTGTAAAACCATAGTCTTGCGATTATTCCAAACGTTCGTTGCTGCGCGTTACATTTCGCCGCAGAGTTGGTAAAAAGTAACTCGATTGACGATCGACGATCGTAACTCGTTGCTTGTTATAATCAATTTGTAACAATTTGTAACAATTTATAATGACCAACGAGTTATAATCGTTAATCGGATCAGCCGAGCTCTGTGTCACAGCGCCGAAAATAATCATTTAATTCGGCGCATATAATGCCGAAAATACCGACGTCGTTTGTATTAAACGGGTGATTACGTTTTCGTTTGACAGCATCATCAACTACAACAAACTGCAGTGCGTCCAACGCAACGCCCTCGCCGGTCTGACGTCTTTGAGGATGATGTAAGTTTCAATGCAGCCGCATCGATCTTTTGTAACATACCACCGCCCTAAAATTTATACGAAATTATACACGAAATTTTGTACGATTAAACGTTACACCAGACCCTCGCAAACTGCTATCGATCGTTGACAGTTTAAAAGTTCGAAACGGTTGCTTTCGGGAGCCTTTCCGGTTACAAACGTTACGTCGTTAAATCCGACGACTTTAATAAGTCAACGCGTTTCGAGCTTCCGGAAGATCCGCTCTTTCGAGCGAGGGTCGCTCGGTGAAAGCTCAAAGAAACTTTGAATCCGCATAATCGATTTCCGTTTGCCGCGATCGAGCTTCCGAAGAGCCCTCCCCTGTCGCCGACACTCCGACGTAAAATTCCGCTTTCCACCAGGTCACTGCACGGCAACGACATATCGGTGATCCCCGAGGGCACGTTCGAGGACCTCCAATCCATGACCCACCTGTGAGTATCGCGGAACGTTCCACGGTCCCGCGAACACGCTCGCGCATCGCCATATCTCTTCGGGCCCGATAATTCACCGGCCGGCTCTGTTTACAGCGCTCTCGGGGCCAACCCTCTCTACTGCGACTGCAGTATGCGCTGGCTGGCCAAGTGGGTGAAGAAGAAGGAATTCGTCGAGGCCGGGATCGCCAAGTGCATGGAGCCGCCCGCGATGCGGGACAAGGTGCTGCTTACCACGTCCGAGACCGAGTTCCAATGCAAAAGTAAGTATTCCCAGGACGAACACCGTTGGTCTGGGCAACGGTAGCCGGTTCGATCGATTCGTTCTAATCCGTACACGAAATTCCATGTATTTGTGACAGTGGCGAAGAGGTTGAATTTGTTTTGCCCTCGACGAATTCAAGTTCCTAACGCGATCCGGGATATTCGAGTCGCTCGGCTCAGTCTGCGCATAGTAATTTCTCCCAGAAATGGTCGGAGATCGGAATTGAAACCGGCAGATCCGAGAATACTAAGTCGCGATTCTTCGAGTCTCGCGGCTCGTTTTTTATAGAAACTCGAGGCAGTCGGCGAAGAAAGACAGCAGCCTGCATGCCGGTGAATATTAATATGAACGCATAGCGATGCTAGAATAAAAAGGATGGGTTAACTTTTTTATTTCTAATTTTTTGCCACGATCCGAAGGCAATTCGGAGCGCACGTGACGCGATTCGAAGGCAATTCGCAGGCCATATGCCACGATTCGACGGCCACGCGTACCTTGTCATCGCCGTAGCAATAAATTGCACAGGCGTAGGACTAGCACAGGGAAATTCGCGGCAGCCCGAAAATCGGCATTTCCGGGAGAAATCGCTGCAATTAAGGAGGACGAAAGAGACAATCTCTGCGAAGGTGAACCGGCCACTATTGCCCGCCGATCACGAATTGCCGCCGCCGCTAGGCGCACATGTTTTTGATTTTCTCACTGGCCCGTGACGCAGTCTGTTTAGTTCATGGTTTTTTGGCCCGTCGTCACAATGGGGTACTAAAATTGCTCATTAATCGTAGACCTTTCTTCCGCGCAGCCAGCCAACAGCCAGCCGAAGTCCTGGCCAAGTGCGACCTGTGCTACACCTCGCCATGCCAGAACGGAGGATTTTGCGAGGCGCTCCCGGACCGGAAGTTCCGTTGCAAGTGCGAGGCAGGATATCATGGGGACCGGTGTGAACATAAAATTGACGCGTGCTATGGAAATCCTTGCCGGAACACCGGAACTTGCAAAGTACTGGAAGAAGGAAGATTCAGGTACCGATCGCGTCTCGATTCCGGTTAGCTTTCTGGCCAGCTCGTTCGGGTCTGATCCACGTATTTGCTCGTTCAGTGGTGCCCGTAGTTTCGACTCTGCGACGGGATCGAGATAGAGCGACGTTCGACGGAATACAGTAATGCCCCCCTTACCGACGCTCGGATTGTCCACTAAAATGGACAATTTGGGAACAGGAGATACGATTATTCGAGCCTTGCGGCTCGTTTTTATAATTGTGGACAATTTATAACTATAAAAACAAAGCGCAAGGCTCGAAGAATCGTATCTCCTCTTCCCAAATTGTCCATTTTTGTGCGCAATCTGGACGTCAATTAGAGAAACGTTACTGTATTCGAAATTCGAAGACAAGATGTACGGTAAATTCTACCCAATTTTCCTTTAGCTTGTACACAAAAGCTCACAGTTCGAATAATTTCTCCTTGAACAATTTAAACAACAGACAGAACTTTCTTCTATAATTAAGAGAAAGTGGCGAATACGACCGAGCCGGGTTCCCGACGAAAAGATCGGACGAAGACCGGGAGACCCGTCGCAGAGGATTAGAGCAGTTTGCATTCACTGTAGATAATCCCCACACACGTGGGAACACAGTAGTTTTGATCGATAATTGCGTAGACGTGCACGTGTAACACGATCGAACTCGGTGTAATTGGATATCGGCTGGAAAAACCGTGGCGTTGCATTGTAAATCTGTCCGCGGATAGAAACCGGCTCGATCCCGCGAGAGTAATCGTGCATAGAGTAGTTTGACTTGATAATTATGGGTGAGCTCGTAAACGAGAGAAACCAGACTAGTTGCACTATATAAACGATACGGTTGTCGATGAGTAGATGAATAGATCGTAGTATCGTGTAGGTTTGAGTACTTTGAATGAAATTGATAACGGGACCCCTGCACGTGAGGCCCGAAGAGTAGCAGCCGCGCGTAACTGTCTATCGACGACTAATTACGACTCGCGGTTAGTTCATTGATACATTCTTGCAATAACGATCGCACGTGGTTTCGCCGATTTAAAGAAAATCGATGATTCCGCGAATCAAATTCGATGAGAGTCGACGTTCGGTTTTGAGAAATAATTTATCCTGGAGGAAATACAGTAATGTCTCCCTAACTGACGTTTAGATTGTGCAGAAAAATGGACAATCTGGGAACAGGAGATACGATTATTTCGGCTATAAAAACGAGTCGCAAGGCTCGAATTCGCAAGGCTCCTCTTCCCAAATTGTCCATTTTTGTGCACAATTGTGTAGCGTCGATTAGGGAGACATTACTGTACACTGATCTTCTCGAGGTCACATTTTTCATCGCGAGCGTTCCACGATTACGTTAACGGAAAGGGGCGATCCCCGAGGTCGCTCGAACATTTGCCGATTAGATAAACCGCGATAAAGCATTGCCGAGGATGATGGTCGTCGATAGATCAGCTGCGTTCGGCGACATCGATTGGCGTGTGTACCGCGATCGATGGTCATGGCCAATGTCTCGATTGACGATCAGTCGGTGTGTGATAGTTGCGTCTGCGCCCCCGGGTACGAGGGACTTCGATGCGAGAACAACGTCGACGACTGCGAGGACAACAAGTGCTCCAATAACGCGACCTGCGTCGACCTCATCCAGGCCTACCGATGCGACTGCACCCCTGGATTCATGGGCGAGTACTGCGAGGAGAAGATACCCTTTTGTACAAAAGGGCACGACCCCTGCGAGAACGGGGGCCGATGCGTCGACCACGGGACCCACTATAGCTGCGAATGCCCAGTCGGCTTCACCGGCCTTAATTGTTCCACCAACCTGGATGACTGCGTTGATCATATGTGCCAGGTGGGTCCGTCGACGAAACCTTTCTCTTTGCCAAGTATCGGTGAATTTTCGCAACGGTTAGCGAGACGGTCGACCGATTTATTCATCGATGATTTCGTATTTTTTTCAGAACGGTGCTACTTGCATCGACGGCATAAACAATTACGTGTGCAAGTGCGCGGCGGAGTACAGAGGGAGATACTGCGAGGCCGCACCATCGACAGTCATGCTGTATCCACAGACTAGTCCTTGTGCCCATCATGACTGTCAACATGGTGCATGTTTTCAACCAGCTCCCGCGTCCGCCGCGGACTATCTTTGCCAGTGCCACCCCGGCTACACCGGTAATCAACAGCTTGTATTTTATATATATATATGATAACGTCACATTGAGATGGTAGCAATAAGAACTGATGAGCGACCAATGTCTATTTAGGAAAACGATGCGAGTACCTGACGAGTTTGAGCTTCGTGGACAACAGCTCGCTGGTCGAGCTGGAGCCGCTACACACGAGGCCCGAAGCGAACGTGACCATCGTCTTCTCGACCATGCAAGAAAACGGGGTTCTCCTCTACAACGGTCAGAACGGTCAGAACGGTCAGAACAGCGACCATATCGCGGTCGAGCTGTTCAACGGCCGTGTACGTGTCTCGTACGACGTGGGTAACTACCCGACATCGACGATGTACAGTTACGAAATGGTAGCCGACGGTAAACCTCACGTGGCCGAGCTAATCGCGATCAAGAAGAATTTCACGATGAGGGTGGACCACGGTCCCGCTAGGAGCATCATCAACGAGGGCCCGAAAGAGTACCTCAAACTCAGCACGCCGATGTACGTCGCCGGCGTCGCGCCCGAATTCGCCAGCATCGCGTTCACGCAGTTCCACCTGAGAAACCTGACGAGCTTCCAAGGTCGGTTCCTTATGGTACCGTAAAGTCGTTGTTGTAGTCTTTTGACCTCAGTCGAGTCCTTATCGGATTCGTTATAGTTGTGTTAGTAGACTGCGGATCTTTGTATATTCAAAATTAAAATGTCCTAGAACAATTATAAGTAACAGGAGTTAAATGAAAATGTATTTCTCTTCTTGGTTGTAAAAAGTTGTAACAATGTTGTTAAATTCTTCCAATGAATGTCCATTGAGTACAGCGATTGTGTGAACGAGTTCGCGTTCGTTGATGGAGGATCTTCTTTCTTTCGGTAACAGGCTGCATCTCTGAAATGTGGATCAATCATAAATTAGTGGACTTCAGTAACGCAGCGAAGATGCACCGTGTTACTCCCGGATGCGTCTCGAACGAGGAGGAGGCTGACGAGGCGCGAGACGTCGTCGAACCCGAAGGCGTCATGAGCAACAGCGGCAGCAACGAGGAAGCTCTACCGGAAGACAACATGGCTCGCGAACATTCCGGTAGGTGTCTGTTCTAATTTGCTGAGGATTTACTGTACACCCCCCCTCCAGAAGTGTTAGGAATATAGTAAATAAATTAGGAATATAGTATTAGTAATATTCTTAAATTTATATTTGCACATTTTCGTAGTTTTTCCAATCATTTTTATGTCAAAGTCATCGACTAGTGGCTAGACATCAACTTTTCTGGTGTCCCGACCAGTCTTCAACTTTTATCAGTCATTAAGTTTTACTGCACTCTAACTTTTACCAGTGTTTCACTTTTACCAGCCTTCGAGTTTTACTAGTTTTTAACTTTAACCAGTTCTAGAATAGTAAAAACTCCGCTAACTAACGTTAAGCGACGCTTAAGATAATTTCAAGCAGCCGAGTTCGAGGCGCACGATTAATTCGAGCGATTTCGATTGCAGACATCGTCCTGACACTGCCTGGCTCGATAATTTCCGATCCCTGCGCAGGACACGAGTGCAGGAAGGGCTCGCAATGCGTGTCCTCGCCGATCGGAAATGGCTACACGTGCCGTTGTCAGACTGGCTGGCAAGGACGATACTGCGAGAAAGGTGCGACAATTTCATCCCCTAAACATTGCCTTTACTTTTCGCACCGTTGAAAGACCGGTACAGTAAATTCTCCTTAATTCTCCTTAATTAGGGAGAAATTACTGTATAAAAAAATCAGTGGAAATTAGATCGTTCGAAACAACAATGTCCGAATTACAGCACCGACGTGTCGCAAAGAACACACCAGAGAGTTCTACAGCGAGAACGGATGTCGGAGTAGACGTCCGGTGAAGCTTGCCAAATGTTGGGGTAGCTGTGGCAATTCTTGCTGCCTGCCACGGAAAACAAAACGACGCAAGGTAGGATCGACGTTAAATAACAACGTCTGCCGAATTATACATCTATGCAGCTTTATTTTTATAATTTCTTCTAACCATAAAATGTAAGGGAAAACTTGATTTCGCAATGTTATTTCACGCGTCGTCTACCGACGATGATTTCACAATTTTCAGTCGTAAGCTTCCTAACAAATTGTTATGAAATAAATTAATATTTCTTTCGGGGTTATCGCGTAGACAGAGACGTTCAAAACTCTTCTTCGACGAGACACGATAATTGAAGCTGCCATTAATAATGCTTCCGGTAGATAAAGTGTTAAAATAGCGATAAACTGCGTGGAACGGTGCAATATAATTTCACGAGCTCTTTATTCTTATCAAGCATAGATGGCACTTTACTTGGATGAGTTATTTCTCCGACTACGTATCCGTCTTTATCAAATCGTATTATACACCATTATATTCCAGCCGATTATTAAAGCATTCGACACGAGTCTCTTTAAACTTTCCTGATTACCAGACCCTGGATCTTTATGGATCGCAAAAGTTCGCCGGCGACAATAAAACACAAAGTTCAAGAAAACATCGCACAGTTTTACGCTACCTTTTATCTGGCAGAAGAACCGGGACGCCGGCGAATGAAATTTCACTTAAGCTTTCTTAGACATCCATGGTCCACCATTTTCCAACCCTTATTTATAAGAGTACCCCGAACCCGAAAATTACGATCCCTTAACGAACTCATTTAATATCTTAAAGATTACCATTTAAATATAGATATAAATTAAATTAAAATATATTAAATTAAATATAGGCTTAAATATTATTTTTTAAATACATATGTTGCTTTTAGTCACGCAATGAAATACATATAAATTAATTCCTCCCCTTCCTTTCCCTCCCTTGATTTAATTTTCAATAAAAGCCGTCATTAGCATCGTTCCAAGGGTTGTAAAATACAGTGTTGCCACCCCGAAGAGCCGTGTTTAGCCAAGAAATTGCAAATAAAATTCGTAGGCGTCTCAAAGGGAACGGGAGATGCTTGTTTTTCGAAATGGATCGAGGTGGCAGGTGTAACGAGTGTGATTTTGCAGGTGCGACTGATCTGCGCGGACGGGATGCGTTACACGAAGGACGTGGACCTGGTGCGCAAGTGCACGTGCACCCGGAAATGTTACTAGCGGGGGTCGAGGAACAGCCACAGGTGTTCCATAAATATTCGTCGAAACGTATGGAGACAAAGAGACCGAAAACGATAAAGAGAGAGAGAGAGAGGGAGAGAGAGAGAGATCGAGAGACCGAGAGGAAGAAACCCCCTAGAATCGAGCAAGTGACCCAATTCCGAACTTTCAACGGAAGACCACGAGTGATGTGCCGAGACTCGATCGTTGAACCGGATGCTACCGATGAAGAAGTGGTCCTCGACGTATCCTCGTGGCGAAAGCATTGGGCCACGCGGCCGAGAGAGACCCATATGATGGACACACACTCGCAAAGCCCACACTGACACACGTATCACACGCGCAGACATACCCTTTAAAACACGTCACACACACGCGGACAGACACGCATATTAACATACACACATATACACACACAGCCGGCTCAGTGTGATATATATATTCGGACGTGGAGAAAGAATAATTATTATTAAATATAATCGTGCGTACGTGGACTTACTCGGTATTTGGAAAACAGTTTCACCGCATACTAGGTATTATTAATCGTGTACGTTTCGCGTGACGAAGAGAGCGAGAGAGAGAGAGTGTGTGAGAGAGCGAGAGAATAGAAGGCGGAGAACGCTAATGATTATTCTCGATCACCGACGAGGATCCGTTCGCTCGGCGTGGAAAGCCGATCGACCGATCTCTCGGAACTCGGAGACACCGGTGGTGCGGTAGAAGCGTGAAATTCTGTGCGAATGTGTGCGACAAGCTTTCTAAAGGGCGTTCCCAAATTATCCAGTACAATTTTACCAGCCGACAAGCTCTGTGCAATAACAGGGAAGCTACTAGAATTACATTCGATGGCATAATCTAGATCGAGATAGAGGAACGAAAATATCCGTGAAACACCGGGTGGACAAATTGAAGTTCACAGCGGCTAAAACCTCTTCCAAAAACTCATCCAAATTTCTGTTAAGGACACCTCTCTGTTCCGTGATTCGCTGAGACCGGTAAATCGCTGATACAAGCTGGTAGGATTCAACCGAACGATTTCGGAACGTCCTCTACAGAGGAATTCGAATAAATCACATCACTCTTCTTTGAGCGTTCGACGCGCCGGATGATTCGGCTCGGAGGACCGATCCGAGGGGTCGTGAACGCGTCAGGAGCCACCGTCGGGGGTGTAATTAAACGCTTCGCTAGCAAGCCGAGCTTCGCGAATGTATTCCGCGAATGTCGTCGCATCGTCGAACGCGATCGTGGCTCGAAGTGTCGCGAACTATTTTCTTATGGATTTTAACAACGTTTTCGTAGCTTTTTTCGGAGATAAGCACGGTTCCATGGCATCGAGGAGCTGCCAGGACCGTCGGACTCGGCGAGTTCGCGACACGAGAAGCCATCGCGTTCGAGAACCGGCTTTCTTGCCGGTGTGGAGGGGTACACTAAATCTGTTTCGTTGTCGCATCGTTTAACAATCCTCCGAGGAACGTTCCTTTCTATTTAACCGGTCGATCGTTCGCGTCGTTTATTTACACGTTCGGGAGACGCGTGTTCGAAGGGCAGGCGAGTAACGCGCGCCGACAGCAGACTCTCCTGATCAACCGTGCTCGCGAATCGAGCTGAATGGCCCCGGGAGCGGTGGCTACGCCCGCGAGAGCGCCAAAGCCCCGCCCACTCGACGAAAAGCAGCGCACACGGAGTAATTGAAATTTCCGTAGAACTCCGATGTCCGTTGGCAAACGTCGGTTGCAGAGAAGCCTCTTGGCACAGTTTGGATCGCTCTCGTAAAATCTAATATTTATTAACGGTAGAACCGCGAAACATTTTCAATCGACGATATTGCCGAGATTGCGAAGGTGCATTTACAGGAAATTATTCGATAAATTTATTTCTACGTTGCGACGAGAGTTATTAAGCGTCTGAGCAACTACATTATCGTTTTTGTAATGTACGGTAGAACCTCGTTTATCCGAACTAACGAAGAACCATCCGAACTATCCAGGCTCAAATATTCTCACCGTTGAAATGTGCTGCCATCTTAAAATATAACATTGTGCCCATGAAAGGGTTAAATCCTTACCGACTCGCGTAATAAATATTGTGCACGGATCGCCGTGGATCGAGCAATTTAGAGAATTAAAATATGTCCAAGGTTCGGATGATCGAGGCGACGCTTGAACGTTAAATATTCCAGCACTCCGTGTTTCGATTCGAGAGGGAAGTAAAGTTTAAAAAATGCGCGAGCAATGAAACTGCGAACGACAAAAGCTTCTGTATTAATGGAAAGCTTCTGCTTCTGCGGATTTGAACGGAAACGAGGCGAAGAACGGCCGAAGGATTGCTCCCAGAGCCTCGAATCTTTTCATTCCACGGCCTAAGAACGTTGTTGCTGCGAGATCGGCCGTCGCCGCCGCCGCCGTCGCCGCGAAAAAGTGAAATCGGCGGCGAGGAAAAAAACGAATTTGTAAGATGTCGGATAGGAGCGCGTAATTATTTTTGTATGAGCACATTATTTATAGCGATCGAGCGTCGGCGATGATTTCTGCGATTGTTTTTCATCGGGCAGGCGTGATCATTCGTTCGGAACTACTTAAGTCCCCCTCTCCCCGTTCCACGCGTTCCGCGCGTGACCTATTTAGACGTGTACCTACTCTGCGGACATAACTGCGTTTTGCATCTTCCACTGCCAGTATTTAAGTCGTATTTATTCGTCACGAACGACCGGAAACGAGAGACCATCGTCGATCAAGCTGTCACCTGATCAACTGCCGTCTACAAGCGAACAATCTCGATCGATCACGATCGAGTCCTTTGCGCTCTGGATCCTCCGCCATCTTGGATTTCTCAAGCGTTTCCGTATCACCGTTGTCCTTTATCGTGTTCCAATCGTTTAATATAGGAGACGCCCGACTCCTCGGGAAGCAAACGATCCGGTTCTGTTCTCGGTTCAGAGTGCAAGGGGTTCAATTTATTGCAAAAATACTCGACGCATCGTTTACAGTGTTGTTCAGCATTTTCCAACCCTTCGGCACGAGCGACCATTCGAACGCTCGTTTCGCGACGCCAATAAAACGCAGCGCGCGGTAAACTCTCCCCAATTTTCCTTCAGCTTCTAAACAAAGATGGAGAATTTTGGAAGAGGAGGTACGATCGTTCGAGCCTCGCGGCTCGCGTTTTTATAGTCGTCGACATAACCGATAACTATAAAAACGCGGTGCAAGACGCTCAAATAATCGTATCTCCTCTTCCCAAATTATCGATTTTTATTTGCAAGCTGAAGGGAAATTAGGGAGAAATTACTGCAAATGCTTCGGAGTTTACCGTTTCGAGGGTCCAGTCGACTACTTCTGAATTTTGTCGGTGTTTCCCCCTTCGGTCGCGTTTCGATTATTTTTCCATTTCATTCGAACTCGTTTGGATCTAAAGGAGAGGCACGTGCTAAACGGATGTTTAGAGAAATATTCGTCGGGATGGTACACTTCCGTGCCGCAAGGGGACGAACTTATCTTATTATAATATTTAGATTACGTTAGGTACTATAGCGGTTCGTATAATTTGACGCACGTTTCTCGAGACTAACGCAATTTTACTTCGCGTTATCCGTCGTCGTAGGAGACGATGGAAGAAGACACGGTGCAAGAAGAAGAGGGTGGGCCAACTTCATCCCTGTTTCTGCGATCTTAAAGGTTTGCTTGCGACACGGTCAGAGCTGGGTGCTCCACGAAACTTTCGTACCCCTTCGTTTTTATGGTGCTACCCTCTACAGCAACGCTGCCATAGCAGTATCACACTTACGCGAATTTAAACAATAAAAAGTAACGTATCGGTCAGCACCGATGTTTCATCGGCGCCTCTCGCGGGAACTCGCGGAAGCGAACTTTTAGCGTCGCAGAAATATCGCGGCGGGGTCCGCGTTTGCTTCTTCTTGCGTCGTGCCGGAGACTTTGTAACGAGCGTTCGTTTCTTTCCGTTTTTACTTTCGTTTTTATAGAATTCTTTTGCTATAAATATCACTATGATTATTTGTGTACGCGTTACGTTTTAGTTCGTTAAACGACGATCATCGTCGAAAGGGAAACAGACGATGGAAGGGAGAGACCGCGAGCGTATAAACGTAGCACGTCGATCACCGTTCACTTGTCGTTACTGATTTCTTTCCTTGTATACCGTAGTGAACATAATAGGTGTATCATAGTATTTTACGGTTTCATAGTATTAATAGTAACGTAAGTTGCCCACAGCGTTGCGTTCCCGAGACATTTCTTTTAATTTCGACTTCGTGTTTTCAGTTTTGCGCAGCCACGGATCGTCGGGCACTGTTGCACACTGTTGTAAACGCGCTGCTCATCGTTCCGATACTCCAAACATTTCTTAAACGGGATCCGCGGTTCGTTCGACCGTGTGGCGTAATTGTTGGCAAATCATTGGACGCTGGAAATTCGACGCGACAAGAATGGTGAGCAGCGTACGGTGATTTCTCCCTAATTCGCGCTCAAAGATCGGCAATTTGGGAAGGGAAGGGACGCGATTATTCGAGCCTTGCGCCTCGTTTTTATAGCTACCGGTTATCAACGATTATAAAAAACGAGGCGCAAGGCTCGAACAATCGTATCTCCTCTTCCCAAATTGTCCACTTTTGAACGCGAATTAGGGAGACATTATTGTATCTAGCTGAATATCTGCCAATCGAACGGAGAAAAGCAGGGACATGGTCAAATGCTTTCAGAACTTCGATGTCGAACATTATTTAGCGAAATTTTCGATCGATCAATTTTTACAAAGTTAATTGTTTATTCGAAATTCTGTCGTATCGACGGCAAAAGCACCGCGTGCTAACGGCATCTGCGGCGACGAAGCGACTCGCCAAACCCGCGGAGGATAAGGTAGTTTCGATTCGCTTCAATCCGCCAGTAGAAACGGTTACACAACTCGGACAGATGATTTTAATCGAGATCGCACAATAGGTTCGCGATCACGTGACGCGAGGAGCATGTAAGGACACTCGCGCGCGATTGCCGAGCGATCTTACACCGCGCGGAGCCTGTCTCGTGGTCGAATTTGCTGAACGCGTTTTTCCAGTGACCGAATTTCGATATTTAATGAAAGAACCTCTGCGGACAATGTAAGCAACCATATGAACTTTATTTTAAAGAAATACAAAAGCAAAATACTGAGTCGATGCTGATTATTTTACGACCAAGACGAAGTCGTGCTCGTCTTTCTTTCCATTCGCGACGCCTTAGGGACGCGATTCGGGAATTCGCGAACTAAAACGATTCGGAACCGAGTCGATGTTAACTTTAATTCTCGTTGGACAATTAATATTGGAGCTATGAAATATTTGTTGACGATAATAACATGCTTTTGGTAGTATTCAATATCGAGTCGTCGAGCCTAGAAAACGAGTCTCATTTTNTCAGTTTTGCGCAGCCACGGATCGTCGGGCACTGTTGCACACTGTTGTAAACGCGCTGCTCATCGTTCCGATACTCCAAACATTTCTTAAACGGGATCCGCGGTTCGTTCGACCGTGTGGCGTAATTGTTGGCAAATCATTGGACGCTGGAAATTCGACGCGACAAGAATGGTGAGCAGCGTACGGTGATTTCTCCCTAATTCGCGCTCAAAGATCGGCAATTTGGGAAGGGAAGGGACGCGATTATTCGAGCCTTGCGCCTCGTTTTTATAGCTACCGGTTATCAACGATTATAAAAAACGAGGCGCAAGGCTCGAACAATCGTATCTCCTCTTCCCAAATTGTCCACTTTTGAACGCGAATTAGGGAGACATTATTGTATCTAGCTGAATATCTGCCAATCGAACGGAGAAAAGCAGGGACATGGTCAAATGCTTTCAGAACTTCGATGTCGAACATTATTTAGCGAAATTTTCGATCGATCAATTTTTACAAAGTTAATTGTTTATTCGAAATTCTGTCGTATCGACGGCAAAAGCACCGCGTGCTAACGGCATCTGCGGCGACGAAGCGACTCGCCAAACCCGCGGAGGATAAGGTAGTTTCGATTCGCTTCAATCCGCCAGTAGAAACGGTTACACAACTCGGACAGATGATTTTAATCGAGATCGCACAATAGGTTCGCGATCACGTGACGCGAGGAGCATGTAAGGACACTCGCGCGCGATTGCCGAGCGATCTTACACCGCGCGGAGCCTGTCTCGTGGTCGAATTTGCTGAACGCGTTTTTCCAGTGACCGAATTTCGATATTTAATGAAAGAACCTCTGCGGACAATGTAAGCAACCATATGAACTTTATTTTAAAGAAATACAAAAGCAAAATACTGAGTCGATGCTGATTATTTTACGACCAAGACGAAGTCGTGCTCGTCTTTCTTTCCATTCGCGACGCCTTAGGGACGCGATTCGGGAATTCGCGAACTAAAACGATTCGGAACCGAGTCGATGTTAACTTTAATTCTCGTTGGACAATTAATATTGGAGCTATGAAATATTTGTTGACGATAATAACATGCTTTTGGTAGTATTCAATATCGAGTCGTCGAGCCTAGAAAACGAGTCTCATTTTTATGGATAGAGAAGAATAAAAGCAAATTAATCTTCCCACGATCTCTTGATTTCCGGTGATCATTCCCGACTCTTTAAACAGTTTTAGATTCTCGTTGATAAGGAATATGCACGGATCGCGTCGATTATCGAGCAGCTAAATTAAAAATACTCCGCCATTGTTCCGGGCCTCCAGTCGCCGTTCTCGACCGAGTCTCCGTTAATAAGCTTGATCTCTAACGCTAAGCTCGACGATGTCAGGAAATCCGAAGTTCTGAAGGCAGTTACTGGACCTTGTCGGAGCCGGGGCCGCAGATCAGGCGAAGACATCTTGGAACCTGTGCGAACCTGTGCCGGTTATGCGAAGGAGAAATTTCGAGGGCCGTAATCATTATTGAATATCGCATTCGACCAAACATGTACGCGCGAATGATTCTGCTTCGAACGAGAGCAACGTCGCGCGTGGGACGTTTTCTAAGGCGAGAATAGCCGAAGGATAAGAACAGCGATAAAGAGCGTAAAATAACGACAGAAAGAGAGTGAGAGAGAATGAGAGAGCGCGAGCGAGCGAACGAGAGAGAGAAAGAGTGAGAGAGAATGCAAGAGCGAGAGAGAGAGAGAGATTTTCTACGAAGTTTAACGTCTGTATTGGACAATAATGAGGGAGCAGAGAAAGAAAGAAAGCGAGAGAGAGAGAGAGAGAGAGAAAGAGAGAGAAAGTAAGAGAGAAAGAGAGAGAGAGAAAGCGCGAGAAAGAAACGAGGAAATTTGGTGAATAATGAAAGAAGAGCGTTCGAGACTTGTGATTGCTCGAAATTCCTACGAGTTATATTTGTACATTTACTTTAACGAGAAACATTTAATATATTTCACGGATCGGTGGACTAATAGCGCATGCGACTGAAGTATACCAATTTTAAGAGTCTTACGCTTAAAGTATAGCAAATGCTACCGATCTCGGACCAGCCGAACCGTGTGTGGTGGTTCCCCGGATAAATGGCGGCTCGAGCAGTTCCGGTCGGCTTGGACCCGCTCCGGGAACAGCTGGAACAGCATTTGTTTCATCACGACTCAACCTACCTAAATAACTGTAAACTGCGTAATAAATATAATTATTATTGTTCCTTCTCGATACCCACGGCGTGGTCATTTCACTACCTGCAATTCCTGGCCAAAATGGCGGACTGCGAGCACGCGAATTCAAAGAACGCGAGAGACAACGATTATTGCGATTATTGCCCAACGATCGCTGCCGAGTCAATCGTCAAAATTTTCTCTTACAGCGGCCGGAAATTCGGTAGGATAATTCATGGCAAATGGAACGCTTTGCAGCCCGTTGATCGCAGTTCTCCGGTAAACGGAGGTCTTGGAAATCGATTGGAAAGAAATTGGTAATCGCCGTCACCCACGATGTCAAAGTTTTTCAGATTTTTCGTATCGGTACTCGATGACGATACTTGCTCGAGCGAACTGGAATCTTTGACGATCGTTCGAAGCTCCGACAAGTGTAAAGCACACTGTAAATTAAACCGAGAATAAACGAGGGCGGAGAGGGAGGAGAACGAAACACTGCATGATTAGAAATATTATTAATTATACAGGCTTAGATACGTCGACCCTAGGTACTAGTGTAAAAACGAAATGTCTATGTTTATATAATGTAATAAATTCTCGGAGTATCGACGTTATTAAATAAATATACGCAAATTTTATGGACAGTCTTCATTCTTTCGCGTTTCTCGCCGTTTCCGCGCGACGGAATAATCTTTCTCCATGATTTCCAATGGAATTTTAAGCCTTTCTTAACGTACAGCAATTATTAAAATTTTAATGTCGAATAAACGTACCCGAATTTCAAGAAATGCCATCATTGTTTCAGATCATTTGCCATTTAGTATTATATTATTATATTAATTAATTTATTAATCTGTAAATTAATATATACTATATATTATACCGTAATATAGTCAGAAATATTTCTTTGGCCACTCGACAGCGTAAGGGTTTACGTTAGCCTCGACTGTACTTGCTTCATTCGGCCAGTTGTTATCGGAAGCAAACGACTAATCGTCGAAGACCTGCCATTTTGTGTAGGAAACAGGTAACGCGGGAAAACCAACGATAAGAACAGAGTGGAGACAGGTGTTATGGTTCCGGAAGCGAACTTGTACGAGCTATCTCGCAGATTGCGCCATTATGTGGAAACCAATGGGTTCGCAACCTGCAGCCCAGGTTGGGTAATATTTATGGAGAAAACAAGCATTCTTCGGAACAAATAAAATATTTTATCTTCAAAAATATAACCGTACACGACCCGAAGCGAAATATCTATTTATTATGTGCCATTTAAAATACTATTTAACCCAGCACCAATTACAACGTTATTCCTCGTTGGTAGATGGAATAATCCAATTTGACGCAGATCTGAATTTGTAACTGCCATTGGGCGTAATTAACGCGACGCTGTAGCGGCGAGACTTGCTATACGCAAATGACGTTTGTAAAAGTAATTTATTGATATTGCTGTAATAATATTACGCCGACGTAGCAATAATATTTGCTAATACGGAATAGTAAATAACGAAGATAGATAGCAATTAATATTATTACAGAGATCGCGCGCGAGGGAACAGAGGCTAATTTATTGATATTGCCCGGATGAATGATACCCGATGTACGGTGTTTATTTCGGCAACGAGGATCCCGCCTCGATAGTTCATTGAACAATGCTATTTGTATAAATTGCAGTCGCGTAATGCGCGCCGCCGATAACGAGCGACGCTCGTCGAGCCGAACTTGTTGACACGCTTCGGCAAAAAATCATACGGCTCTGTTAATTGTTCCCCGGCAGATTATTGATCGTTAATTCCGACGGCATAACGCGTTTAGCGAACGTTGAATAAACGGTGCGCGCGATCATTGCTCGTTAATTGCCGCTAAAACCTATGACCTACCCGCCGTTTCCATTTTATTTAGCGCGGCCCCGCGAACTTCTTGTTCAGCCCGCCGGTGTCGAAATTGTTTAACAATTACCGTCGCCGAATTAGACGCGTTTAACGATCCACCGTGTAGCACGCGTCGCGCCCGCTTCGGTACAGCAATCTACGATTCGATCGGCGCATTGCCGAACGCCTCTCTAAACGATCTGTGGATCCGAAAAATTAACGGAAAACGAATTCGAAAAATAAACTTCCAGCAGAAATAGAATGTCGCTGGCGGTGCTCGCCAGCTGCATAAATAATTATGCTGTTCGATCTTGTATGTCAGAAATTCGATTTTGTCCCTTGCAACGGAAAATGTTGACCCGACCCTACAAATTACAGTAATTTCTCTCTAATTCGCGCTCAGATTGCGCACGAAAATGGACGATTTCGGAAGAGGAATTCGCCTTGCGAATGAGAGATTATTCGAGCCTTGCGTCTCGTTTTTATGGTTGTTGGCAATCGGCGACTATAAAAGCAAGCCGCGAGGCTCGAACAATCGAAACCTTAATGGTCGAGAAACTGTCAATCCCGTTCGAATGAATTTTAAAAAGATGATCGATTCGTCAGGATCGGCGCAGCTCGCTGCAGTTTCCCGGCCTCGGACCGGCGAAGCTCGAATCTCGGAAGGATCTCCGAGCAATCGGACGCGATCTGTGGAGTGTTTATCCAGTTTTCGAGAAGCCTGCGCGAAGCTCGGTCGAATTAAAACAATGGTCGCCGCGTGTAATCGGCGATCAACGAAAATTGTTGGTGTCAAATTGGCCGGAGTCTCGCGAAGGAACTCGCCAGTTAAGCGGACACTTCCGAGACACCTTTACAGAACTAGACCTCGTGATAGTACCCTCAATTGATACGCGGTTGGCTGCGTGGGTGGAGGAAAAGCCCTGTGCCAGCAACGGCAGCTCGTAGAATGAGTTAATGTGTCAGTCGTAAGCGCGATCTCGTCGCGACGCGCAACTCATGAGACCGGTGACTCAGTCAGAGTTCAATTTATATTTTGTTCCGTTTTTTTCCTTTTTATTTTAAACCAAAAAAAACAACAATTTACGACGATAGCAACGAAGACACCGGCGCATCGCGTTTTAGCTGTGTCAGTTAATCGCGGACCGAAGGGAAGAAATCGATCGAAAACAGTTCTCAATGGTTTAAACTGAACGTATCACTCTTTTTTAACGTCGATCGCGTGTTCGAATAATTTTGAACGAGTTTGTTACGTTGTCGACGAGTGACAACGGTTTTGTGGAACTTTTGCCATTGTGTTTCTGTGGCGCCGACAGTATTATCCTGAACGATTTTTTCTTTCGGAACTAATTAGGAGGTTGATCAGTGAGTAAACGGACGATTATATTTCTGCACCGTAGAAATCGAAAGTCTCCGAGCGTTTTCAAGTTCAATTATGTGCCGCGCGCTTGTTTGGGCAACAAGTGTCGCCGAGTTCCGGTGACGATTTATGGCCGCCTTCCGAAAGCGTAAGTAACTCCGTCGGGATCGATTGGACACGCGAACGTCTTGCTCGAACACTTTTAGAGAAATCTGTGCAGAAAACGTAACCTGTTTATCGTACTTCTTAGAACTTTGCGACGTTTCGTTCGCGTCGCTGCAACGTGAGAGGAGAATAATCGAGTCGATGGATCGTAAATTTAACGAGTTAATAAGTTGATAACAAATTGATCGACGCGTGAATCGATTAACATATAACAAACCGGTGAAAGCGAGATGTTCACAAAAATGGATGTTTAAAAATGCGGTTGCTTTATTTTTAGAAGTGAAAGAGGGCTTTCCCCGGCGTGCAACAAGTACGGGGGAGAATGTTAGTGGCGCAAGGTTAAACAGAGAGTGATTTACAACCGATCGTAACGAGTCCGCTTTTTGTCACGGAATCGCAGAACCCTGGGAAATTTAATAAAAATCGGTAGAGGCGAACTAGAAATTTTCAAATTGATTTATCGGTTCTATTTGAATCGTTTTCTACATTTTCGGGATACAGATTTCATCGACGATCGTTCATGGAACATTGAAGTTTCCGAATTACGGTTTACTGCTCGACGAAGACGAAGCGGAATCCGGAGAACATTTTTAACGCATGACGCACTGTCCACGGCGATTATTAACCGCGCCAATCAGGGATTCGCCTTTAAAGAATCAGATCCGTTAATGGAACGAACCGGTCGTTAGAGTTATAAAAAATCGCCTGCTGCAAGCGTGATTCTTTTTTTACAGTACCAATATCCTCCGCAGCGATTTTCACGGCACGTAGCGGAGCGTGCTGCGCCGGAAACAAACGATGCCATCGGCGATCTTTCGTTATAGTCATTCTATAAAAAGCTAAAGACACTTTAATTCGAAAACTCTGATTCGCAAACCTTCGATTTTAAATACAAAATCGCTTTACTATTCTTATTTCGTTATTTTTTGAATTGCAATCCGAATACAACGGTTCGCAACGTAACATTCGGGTGCGTTATTTTTTAAAACGCAACTCGCTCTCTGCATTCGCAATTTAATATCCAGGAGCATCATTTTTTTCAAACACGATTTGAACCGGAAATTCGCAGTTTTAAATATTAAAGCGTTACTCGTCTTTGTTACGATCTCGGCTCGACATTTACGATCTCAGATCTAGAAGGGTTGCGTCGTTGATTCGGCTGAAAACCTGCGATCGACAATTCCAGACACAAAACTCTGATTTTAAAGATCAGATGTGCAAATCGCGACTCGCGAACAAGTTAACCGCAAGATAAGCAAACTGCGTCGAGAACCGCGGACAGTAAAGCTCGGATTCGAGAAGCAAACAGTGGCTGCTCCGAGAAATATTCACTCATAAAACAAAGTACCAATCAATGAAACCGCGTGCAACAGCGTCGCGACTAGGTGGCAACGCGTTCGTAGCATGATTCACCGGATAATTTCTACTTTCCGTTTAACATGCATACGCGAGGCTCCGAGTACCCGGAGACAAACTTCCTTTATGGAGATTAAAGCGTCTCCCTTGAAAGGATAAGATCGATGTAGGACCCTACGTGATTTCCGGTCGTGCGGCAATCTTTCGTCGCACAGATGAAACCCACTCCTAGAGAGAGGGACTATGAGTAACGGATTACTTTTCATTCGAGAAATCAAGATTCAAACGGTGTCCCCCGGTTTCGGTAGCCGATGCTGTCCCTTCGTGACCCGGATAATGCATTTTCCACTGTCCCTAACCGTATGCAGCGCTTTTGCATTCGTTAAGTGCTCTAGGAACATTCTCATCGCTTGATAGAATCGTTAAAAAATGTTCGCAGCTGTTGTCAAAGACAAAACTCGATTAGAAGGGTTCTTTAACCATTTCAATTCTTAATCATTTCCATTGTAAACGCGTTAAATCGTCGGTTTAATTATTACAATCTGTTCTTATTCTGTTCTGTAATTTTAGATAATAATAAATAATAAATATTTATATATAAATGTATATATAAATATAATTATATAATATATATAATATTATATATAATATATAAATATAGAATAAAAATATATAAATATAAAATAGATATATATAAATATATATATATAGAATAAATATATATAAATATAGAACAAATAATAACAAATATAGACTAAATCTTATTTTTAAGAGGATTCAGTGGCCTCGAATGCAACAATAAAACCGACCAAGAACGATTGTTCGTATATCAATATAACTTTGAAGTTCGTACATTAGAAGAAAAAACGTATAAATAATTATACCCTTCGAATACAAAATACTCAATACTCCGCATAACCTTTGACGTTTCTCTTCTCGAAGAAATGGTGCGATGGTGTTACATAGTTCCAATGATTGCGCATTGACTCGTGATACATCGTGTGGAAGATAAGGGTAGGTGGTACAGCGTTCGATCGCTCATTAAGTAAACGGGGATCAGGGTAGTCTCTTGTTCTCGTTCCTCTTTAAACCCCGGCTGCTACAACGACCCAGTCGCCTGGTTTGCTCGATATATCGATTTTACGAGGACAACAGAAGGAGTGCCCGTGAAGAGTGTTCCGGCTTGCTGCAACGAAATAAGGAACGCGTCTAGCTAGCACGCCGGTGAAAAATTATTGCGATAGCCGAGCCTCTGTTCCAGGCTGTTCGTCGCCGTCGCGTTTTATTTCGGTTCCATGAATATTTAAACGCTATCGTTGCTGGCGGCCGTTCTATTCGGCACGGAACAGCTGCGCCCTTTTGAACTTCGGGAACGAGATGGGTCGAGCATAGTTTTCGGTTCGACTATTGCACCGTCGATCGTCGAAACGCACTTCGTGCTTTATAGTCATCTCGTTAATTGAAGGGACGATTTTATTGGGGATCTTCCGATCTGCATCGCAGAATTTGTGAGAAACGATTTCTTGTTTCAGGGTCGCCGCGAGACGTTGCAATGACGCAGCATCGAGAGGAAACGGGTGAAAGTAAGAATTGAAGGGGTTGCGCGAGAGAAAGCGTCGGTGGTGGCGGGATCGCAATGAAAGCCAATAAACCGTGATGAGTAAGAGAGTAGCAGCAGTCGGAGTGGTATTAATAAATTAGTGTCTAGTTGCTATAAGCATCGGCCACAGGAGCATCAACAGATAGGAGAAGCGTACGACGTGCACAAGGGAGAAGGAGAGAGAGAGGGGGCGAAAGAGAGAAGGAGAGAAACGCGTATGGGAAGAAACCGGAGGTGGAGATGATGGGGACGATGATGGACAGTGATCAGTATTCGATGGCCTTGAAATTTAAGAAAGTATGATTCCCATTTAGAAGCGCTTTAGCAATCATAACGTTTAGCCCCTCGAATCATATACTTTTCTCATTAAACAATTTCCTGTGTCTCGCTGCAAACAACCGAGACGGTCCAAGCTATCGTGACATTTGGAACACCCGATATATTACTCTACAAACACAGATACGCTGCAGCGAGAGCACCGTGATATTTTAGAATCGCTTTTCTTCGACCCTTTCGCGATATTACACAAATATATATACAATTATAATATATATAATATATTGTATATATTTTACAATTATATATATCCCTTATATCCCTTAATAATTTCAGCGAGTTAAAAATGGCTGCATCGATGGCCTCGAAATCGCTTAATATGTTCATTAATATGTTTCAAATTTAAGAGATTAAATTTCAGTTAGCCATTTGTATCGTAAACGCATCGAATCGGCGGTCTTAGTGGACAAGCCAATCGGACTTTTTAGCGCGACCGAACGATTCCATCGAGATCGAAACGGCCTGAAAGATTCCGTGTTCCTTGTTCCCAGTGATTCGAATGATCTCGAGCCGGTCACGAGGATGACGAAGGTGGCAGATTAGCTGAAAGGGTCGTCGAGGACGGAGGAGGGAAGGTGGCGAAGTCATCGGAGCGGACAAGGAGAAACAGACGCTGATCGCGGCGTCCGTGCACACGGGTCTCGTCTGTGTGCGGGCTCCGAACCCGTCGTTGTCTGTTCAACGGCCGTGTGTGCGAGTGCCAGCGCGAAAGAAGACAATTGACTCGCAGCCTAGCCGCCGCCGTGCTTGCCGGGGGCCTTCTGACGTCACATCCTGTCCACTGGCTAGTCGCGATCTCGTTTGGACCACGGCACACCAAGGTACGCAGATTCGTGCGTCCTCAATGTTTGGACGCAGATACACCCGCGACCGCGTCAGATCTCGCCGCCGCAAGCCTCCGGCTTTCTTTTCGCCGCTTTACCCAAGGATTTTCCGGCCGGACCGTCAGGGACCAATGGGAGGGACGCGTGAGAACCCGGAGGATGATTTCACAGCCGCGGAGACAATGATCGCCGGTTCGGGATTTTAATTATGGGGGCCTGGTGTTTGGAACTCGACGGTCGGACGATGATTTGAAAGTGTTTGAGGTGGTCGGAGGAAGTTCGAAGGTGATCGAGGTGGCCGCAAGAGGATCGCATCGCGAGCATTGCATTCATTACCAGGTGTCTTCCTCTGTAGATCGTCTTTGAGGATGACTTTTGTCGATCGGTATACCGTGCGAGCCCCTTCGAAGAAGTTCGATGGCATTTGAGATCGTTGAGAGTGACCGAAGAATGTCTGAGAAGGTGGCAGTGAATTTTGCACTTCGTCGAGTGTATTTAGGGGTATATACTGTCTTCAGGGATGATTTTTGTTCACGTATATATAATGTGCGAGAGTGTTTGAAACTGTTTAGAGTCGCTTGAGATTGCCGACAGTAGTTGGAGACTAGAAAAGTAGCATTTTATCTCATTCTTTGATATAAAATGATTGTGGTAACACCGCTTCACGATGTCTCGAGGATCGTATCGTACTTTTAGTACAGGTTATCCCAAAATTATTGTACAAGCGAGAAGTGGAGGGTTCCTGAGACGATTTGAAGTAACTTTTCCCTTTACAAAAATTTTCTCCGAGGTTTCGTTTACGAGTTATCGACGAAAAACGCTGACCAATGCCGCGTCGCGCTGGCCGTCCGACGCAGCGGCAGTGATCGCGAGGGCGGGGCGTCAGCCGTGCGCCATCTCTCATTGGTCACTGTTTTTCGTCGATAACTCGTAAACGAAGCCTCGTAGAACATTTTCGCTAAGGAGAAAGTTACTTCAAATCGCCTCAGGAACTCCTCCGTTGGGATACTCCGTATAAAGAAAATGTTGCTGTGTTTCCAGCGAAACGACGATGGCGAACGTCAAACGGATCGTCGGGGTCCTCGTCTGGGCGATCGCGTTCACGACGATCCAAGCAGATCTGACGGACTCGTCGGAAAGCGACCAGTCCGACGAATTGGACGGGTTCACCACGACCAAAAGGACGTTCCCGGACAGATGTCTCGTAAAAATGGAGCCTGGCCCGTGCAAGCAGTACGTACACAAGTGGTCGTTCAACAAGACTGAAGGGAAATGCAGGATGTTCCCTTACGGCGGCTGTCTGGGAAACGAGAACCGCTTCAACTCCGAGATCGAGTGCCTTCATTATTGCGTGGGTGGGCCCGAACGTAAGCGTTTCACCCTGTCTTTTTAATAACCGTTAACCGAGCAACTATTTGCACGTGATGCCTCTGGTAATAAATCGCAAATGTCGGACCATTGAACTTTCTGCTAATCGATATCATTGTGGAAGACCGACAAATCGAAGACCTTGGGGCGAAGACGCCGGGGTTTCTGATTAAAAATGTGCATAGTCGTTGTGCACACTTGCTCTTTAATTTCAGCGTTCACGCTGTCACGGTGTTCCGATAACGAATTAAAATTCGCCTAGAGGTTCAATGAACAGAGAATCATGCCCGTGGTCCTTTCAGATACCCTTCCGCCGTACTTGATCACGAAGGGCAGCGTCTTTGTGACCAGCACCGCGACTACCAGCACACTGCCTTCTACCACCGTCGTTACTCCGCGGCCGACGTTCGCACCACCCGCGCCAACGAAACCACCTGTACCGAAGTACAAAAGGGGAAAGGTAATCTCCGCGCATTTGCATGGAAAACGGACTTTTTACAATCACACGAGCCCGGAACAAGCGAACGGTTCCGAAGATTAGATTCCGGGTCATTGTCCCTTCGCGCACTCCGCGCAGCGATCGACGTTCAAATAAATTCTAGAAACTTTCGAACTAATTGCCGCGACCCTGTTTACCGGGATACTTTTCTCTGGAATGCAACGACTGCTTCATTGGCATTCGTTAGACTGCGGATCTTCGTGCATTCATAAGAAGAATGTGGAACAATAGTAAACGGTTTTCAAATGATTATAATTATTAACAGGATACATTGTTATTCGACTTCTATTTCTTGAAATCGATATATATATAAATGTAATAAGCAATCTAGTAATTATTAATTATTAATTAGAAGCAGGGTCTAAATAGTAAAATTCATCATTGTTTCGGATGGAAACGATTTTGTACACAAAAATGGACAATTTTGGAAGAGAAGATACGATTATACGAGCCTTGCAGCTCGTTTTTATAGTTGTCGACAACTGTTAATTATAAAAACGAGCCGCAAGGCTCAAATAATCGTATCTATCTATCTTTGCGTACAATTTAAGCGTCAATTAGGGAGAATTCACCGCATACGAAACGCCCTCATTGCATTCCACAAAGTACAAAAATCGATCGCTGTAACGAAAGAACAATAACACAAAAAACCGTCGATGAACTCGAAAATCGCGACCTTCGTTTGCTCGAATTAACGAAGAACTCCGTTCGCAGGAGCTGACTTTCATGGAGTCGGGGTACGAGAAGACGTTCATGTTCGCGCAAAGTAACACGTTCATCCAACTAGACGGGCCGGGCATCAAGCTGTTCCAATTACGGTGAGAGAAACACCTGCGCGATCGCCGGAGTTCGCTACGTCGACCGTCCTCTCGTTTGTCGAGCAATTTTCATCTCGATTTCCAGACTGTGCCGGGAGATATCGTTCAAGTTCCGGACGAAACTGCCCCACGGCCTTCTGGTCTATCACAGCGTCAAAGATCGACCGGAAAGCCTCGATCCGTACGCCTTGTACGTGATCGTCGAGAAGGGTCAGCTGAAGGTCGTCCACGTGTTCGGGAAGAAATCGACCAGCTTGACGGTGGGCGAAGGGCTGAACAGGGACGAATGGCACAGCGTTCTCGTCAGGATCGACGTGCACGGGGCGAAATTAATAGCCAGAGTGGACGACAAACAGGAGGAGACGACGCTCAAGGTTCTAGAGCATGTGGTCAATTACGGCGTGTCCGACGAACTGGCTTCCGTCGTCCTCATTGGAGGTAAGGCGAACGTTATCTCGACTCTGTGACAACGGGACGTTAACGCTGCACGCTCCTCGTTCGTTTTATTCGATCGCTTTTGTAAAACGGTTGCAGGAAATTCTCCCTAATCGGCGCTCAGATTGTGCAGAAAAATGGATAATTTGAGTTTTTTTATTTGAGTTAATTTTTATGGTTACCGATTGTTAACAGCTGTAAAAACGATCCTCGAGGCTCGAATAACAATCGTATCTCCTCTTCCCAAATTGTCCATTTTTGTTCACATGGAAAATTAGGGAGAACTTGCAAATATTGCGAAGTCGTGTAGATATCGACTGCTTTAAAGCGACGCTGACATCGACGAATACTTACGATCTTGCAACATTTGTGCATAAATATCTCGTAAACTAATAATTTGCTGACAAGGTCGAGGTCTAATATCTTGTTTGTTCGAAGCGACGGACCGAGAATTATGCGATTATTCTACACGAACAATCCAAAATCATACGATTCCGTTCGAAAGAACAAAGTTGACCTCCATTTGCCCCGCACACGTGCCCACTTACAGCAAAATGAATTATGTCATCTTGTGGTCCCCTCGAAACCATTTAATTTCTGCGGGCAACATTTTTTATGCGCTGTGTAATTAACGAGTTATCCTCATTTACGGATTAAAGTCAGGCACCCTGTGTATACAGGGTGGATTACGCAACGAGTTTCCAAGGTTTTCTATCGGTTAACCTACCGTTTCTTTTCGCTTACGTACTGGAAAAAAACGGCTGTTCCTTCGTTCCCGAACTGAGGGACAATGCGAGAGAAATTACTGCAAAATTGATCATTCTATGAACGATTGCTCGATGAATGATTTTGCTTCTCGATGCCAGGATTGAGTTCGGAGGAGCGACTGCACGGTGTCAAATACATAATAGAGTCCTTCGTGGGCTGCATAAGGGACATGGTACTCAGTTCCGGTAAATCGGCGAGCGATTTGCTGCCGATTCAGCCTCTGATCGCAACGAAACACGAAAACGTGCAAGAGGGTTGCATAGACATGTGAGATGCTCCAATTAATTTTTCCACGATGTTTCATTAACGTTTCTATAATGCTGGACGTTCGAGAACAATCGTGTGGGATATTTCAGGTGCAGGACACGAGAGAATCTCTGTTTCATCTCCAACCAGTGCGTGAATCACTATAACAGTTTGACCTGCGACTGTTTTGGGACCAAATACGAGGGTGTAAATTGCGATGTGTATAGTACGTGATTTTTTCCATCGTTCAAATTATTTAGTATTATAGTTCTAGTGTATTTTATATTTATATTATATTATATTATATTTATATTATATTATATTATATTATATTATATTATATTATATTATATTATATTATATTATATTATATTATATTATATTAATATTATATATAGTTATAGTATTTTCACTTACAGTAATTTCTCCCTAATTAGCTTGAATCTTTCCAGCCGCAACGATTTTAACGTTGAGAGGATCCTCTTACGTCTCGTTTCGCGTCTACGATTGGAAGGACAGGGTCCATTCGTCTGTCAACAGAATTAGTATCGCGTTCAAGGTACGAGTCTGGTTACTGTAGCACCAAATTAGAGAATTTTCTATTAAAAGAAACGATCGACGACAATTACGGAAAATTTCCATTTCCATTTACGATCCTTGTGCAGACAAAATGGGACGATTCAGCTTTGTTCTACGCATCCGGCGAGATCGACGGGACTCCTCACTATGTGGCAGCGTCGATCATGAACGGATCCGTGCACGTCGAACTGGACTTCGGGCACAATTCGAAGATTTCCACGGTGCTCGGCGATTACATCACCGCGAACCACTGGAACAATTTAACGATATTCCACAATGGAACGTTGGTTTTCGTTAGCTTGGACGACGAGATCAAAGTGCTCGAGGTCCCCGGAGAAAATTACAACATGATCATCGATCCGGAAATCTACATCGGCGGTGGCCCGGAATTGCACAAGAAGAACGGCCTGCTTTCGTACAATAATTTTGCAGGTATATTATCGGACGCACAAGTGGCGTGGAACTGAATCGTCCGGTGATCGCGGAATTAATTTCGCTTAACGCTCGCAGAGGAAAGAAATATTTTCGATTGTTCCCAGGCTCGCTGAAGTACGTGTTCTTCAACGACAAGTCTATCATTTATGAATTGAAAAAATCGAACCCGATGGTGCACTACATCGGCGTCCTCGAGCCAGAATACTACGAAGCCGACGTCGATGTAATTCCAATAACGTATCCGTTCGCCGGCAGCCACATTTGGTGGCCGATCGCGCGAACCGATTCTCTGAAATTGAATTTTGATTTCAAAAGCTCGAAACCGATTGCGGTGGTCGCGTCGGGAAACGTAAAGAGCAACGGCGATCCTGGATACTGGGAGGTGAGACTCTTTTCTTTTCGTAGGAGAAAAAATATTCGTATCTTTTCTTACGTAATTGTCCACGAAACAAAAACTAAAATCACTTTTATATTCTAGTTTTAATCTTTTATAAACGGAATTATAGTCTTTCTTTTCACAGTTGGTTGGCAAATTGGTGTTAAAAATCCGAACGAACATTTCTATGGCAACAATTCGAATGTTTCGTGTCCACAGCTCCGTTTAGTTAACGACGAGATACGTTTTCACCTGATCCCCGTGACCACCGAGAACATAACAGTCACGGCTGCAGTGAAGTTCCCGCCGTACAACACATCCTGGCACGCGGTTGAGCTGAACTATACCAGAGGGGAACTTAGCATCGTTGTGGACTACAGGAACAAACAGAGCAAACTGTTCGCCATGACCTTCGAACTCGGCGAAAAAGTGATTATCGGGAGTGGCAAGGGCAATGCGGGTATCTAAACATTAATTTTTATGAGCTATGTCGTCCACATTGTTATCAGAGAAAAATTCCTAGTCCGACCTAGAAAGATTTCTATAGTTCGCACAGTGGTCTATGACATTGTAAAAATAGGATAAGCATAGAAGAAACAAAGGTGAGAGGAACGAGACCTTAATTTCTGTTAAAACGCACACGTTAGATCATTGTCCAAAAATCAAAAATCTCCCGAATCCAAAAACAAAAAATCCACGGTCTGCGATTCGATGTGCAACAACTGCGTGGATTTCTGAACCAGGTTTGGTCGGCTGCATGAGGGAAATTCGAGTGAACGACGAAAGGATCGAGCCGAGACACGTGGTGAACACCGAAAGAGTGTTCGGAGAGGTGGCCTTGGACAATTGCCAGTTCGTTGACCCTTGCACCAGACCGAACACCTGCGAACACGGCGGAAAATGTTCGGTGAAAGAGAACAAGATCAACTGCGACTGCACCGGCACCGGTTACTTGGGCGAGAATTGTCATTTCGGTGAGCAGAAGTTCGAAAATTCGCGAACAAATCCTCGATTAAAGATAACATAGAAATAGAAAAAAAGTAATAAGAACGAACCTTCGGTTAATTCCAGCGGAATTCAGAAAGACATGCGAGGAATTAGCCCTGTTAGGCTACTCCCAGGACGACGTCTACACGATCGACATCGACGGAAACGGCAGGTTTCCACCGGCCGTGGTGAAATGCGAGTTCCAGTCTCTCGAGGACTCGACGAAGACCATCGTGGAGCATAATCTGCCTTCGCAGATGGACGTCCGGTCCATCGCGGAGTCGGATTTCTCTTTGAACATCAAGTACAGACAGTTCACCGCGGAGATGCTGCAGGAGCTGATCTCTCACTCGCTTTACTGCAGTCAGTACATCAGGTACGACTGCTCCAAGGCACCATTGGAGCTGCACAGTGCCACGTGGTTCCTGAGCTCCAGTGGAACCACCGTGGACTACATCGGCAACGTGAAAAGGGGATCCTGTCCTTGCGGAAGTGAGTATAGCGACATACGGTAATGTCTCTCTAATTGACGCTATAGTAATGTCTCCCTTACTGACGCTAGTCATCTGGCGTTCAACCGTTCGCGGACAACGATTTTTCAACGCGCTAAGAACTATGCTCAGACTTTTGCCGAACGTACATATGAAAATTTCAACTAATTCTCAGAAACCAGAGCACATAGTCGAATAATATTAAGCAAGGTTTCGCGGCAGATGTTACCAAATGTCCGATTGGTTCAGTGAACAGGACCTGCGTCGACCAAAACCTGAGCTGCAACTGCGACATTTTCGACGGGAACGTGAAGTGGCTCTCCGACGAGGGCTTCTACGGTACTCCGGACTCTCTGGGCATCACTGGTATGGTCTTCCTGCAGCAAAGAGACCTCGCGGAGGATGCTCAAGGTCGAATTACTCTGGGTCCCCTGGAATGCGTCGAGACGAGTGAGTGAACCGAGGAAAAGATCGCTTTCTGCCAGAACCAACAGAAATCAAGCCCACGAAAAAGACTTCTATATGAAAATTGATATCTCTCCTGTTCCAGACACCCAAAAGTACGTAGTCACCTTCACAACTTCGCAATCGTACATCGAAGTGCCAGGCTGGCGGAAAGGAGACATAGCCTTCAGCTTCCGGACTACCGGCGAGAAAGCGATTCTGCTTTATCAGCCACCCATCAGGAGCAACTATCCGTCCTTCATGGTGACCCTGACCTCGGAGAACCGTTTGACCTTCACGTTCACCCTGAACACTGGCAGGATCAGGGAGATGGAGGTGAAAAGCCAACGGAAGCTGAACAACGGCGAGTGGCAGAAGATCTGGATCGATTACAACGATTATCACGTCAGATTCATGATCAACACCAAACACCAAATGGTGAATCTCACTTCCGAAGAGGAGTTTGGGCCTTTCGAGGGTTCCATGTTCATCGGGGGCGCCACCGCGTGAGTCTTTCTCCTAAATTATTTCCGCAGACCTTAATGAAGCATATGAAAATTCCAACTAACTCTCAGAAATAAGAATATTAATAGCTTGGGTCCAAATGGGCCCGCTGTCCGAGCGTATCACGCTCGAACGGTCTTCGGGTCTTCTTCTTTAGCAAGAGCTATATACAGGGGTCCCAAAATTTTAATCGTTCGTTAAGAACTCGTAAACGAAGCCTCGTAGAACATTTTCGCTAAGGAATAAATTGCTTCGAATGATTGCTTCAGGAACGCCTGATTTCTCGCTTGTACAATAATTTTGGGACCCTACAGTTAAATATACCGTGATATAAATTACCATAGTAATTTTCGCTGCCATTCTTCAGCACGTTTAGAACAAGTCACTGAACTAATTGAACTGCAGGGAACACTTGAGGACCTCGTCGATCCGGCAGGGTTTGATCGGCTGTTTCCGCGGTCTTGTCGTGAACGGCGAGATCCTGGACATCCACAGCTACATGTCCGTCCACCTCTCCGAGATCATAAAAGACTGCAAGCCCTCCTGTCAGCCGAACAAGTGCCAGAACGGCGCCTCGTGCGTCGAACTCTGGAGCAACTTCGAATGCGTCTGCGAGAACAAATGGGCCCACCTTGGCACCTACTGCGAGAGGAGTAAGCAATTAACCGGTCTCACTCTGCCTGCCGAGTTACAAATAATACCGTCGCGAATAACCTTGCCCACACTGATACGCAGACATAAACGAGAAGGCGCTCACCTTCACGTCGCAGGGAGCCTTCCTGAACAAGAATTATTTCGGCACGGACGACGAGAACGAGGAGTCGTCGGTGTTGAAGAGCATACTCCAGCAGAATGTGCTGATCAATCTGAGAACCTACGACACTTATTCGCTGATCCTCTACGCTAACGATCACCTGAACAACTTCGTTCATTTGTACATAGCGAACGAGTCGATCGTGTACTTGTTCAACTCCGGCAACGAGATCAAGAACATCACCGTGGAGCATCCGCGTAAGTCGCGATTCCGAATGTTTCCCGGAAACTAAGCGGGTCTATCGTAATGCGCGATCTTCGGGCTTTCGTTCGAGTCCTCGAAGGCCCAAATATTCTTACGGGAACGCGTTCCAAAACAGGTTCGAAGTAACCTCTGAAACCGAAACACTGAGATTCTGAATTATTTCCTTCGAATCGAAACGCCTCCGTCTCGCAACATTTTATCGTCCAGCGATAAATTTCGTTCCTTGAAGAGTCGAAAATTCCTACGGAGACACGTTTCAGGTGCGAACACAGGGATCTCGGTGCAGATCGCGATAATCCGCGACGAGAAGTCGACGACGCTGCACGTGAACGAATACAACAAGACCATAAACGCGACCGCGGTGCTCCTGGAGAGTTATTCGAACAAGCCGTGGGTAAACCCCGAGAAAGAGATTCTGGCACCTCAAAGGCCACCCGCACCGCCCACTACTTACTTCCAGGTGAGATTTCCGGCGATTCGACTCGAATCGAATTTGTGCAACGATCGACGGTCTTGCGTAGGTGAATCTAGGAGGCTTCGACCCGAACGATTTGCTGATAGTCGGCAAGGAGGAAACGCAGATCAAGGACTACGTGGGCTGTCTTCGTGGTCTGATGATCGGGGAGTACCTGGTCAATCTTCCTAAACTGGCGAACGAGGCGAACCACGAAGGCACCAAGGGCGTTCTAGCCGACTGTCAAATGAAGTGCGACGCTGTGCCTTGCAAGAATCTCGGCATCTGCACCGAGAACTTCGGCAGACAGGAGTCCTTGTGCAATTGCGAACTGACCTCGTATTTCGGGGAGAACTGTGTCGACGGTAATCGTGCTGAATTCTGAAAAATCTATATACAGAGTGCTCTATAATTATGTTACCTGGAAAGAGGAGATTCCTGAGGTGATTCGAAGCAACTTTTTCCTTAGCGAAAATGTTCTACGAGGCTTCGTTTACGAGTTATCGACGAAAAACGTGGGCCAATCGGAGAGCGTGCGCGGCCTGCGCTCCGCCCTTGCGGCCAATACCGTGTCGCGTTGACCGTCTGACGCGGCGGCAGTGGTCGCGAGGGCGGGGCGATCTTTCACTTACGAGTTTTTCGTCGATAACTCGTAAACGAAGCCTCGTAGAACATTTTCGCTAAGGAGAAAGTTACTTCAAATCGCCTCGGGAACCTCGTTCCCGCGTGTACAATAATTTCGAGGCACCTCGTAGAGCAACTGTCGAGAGTTTTAACGAAGAAAGCGTTGTTTACCAGAAAAGGGAGCAGACTTCCGAGGCCAGAGCGTTCTTCAGCGCGAGTTCGATCTGGTTGGGCCGGTGAATCAAGTGAAGGTTCAACTGGCGTTCTCCACGAACGAACATCACCCAACGCATAACACCACGTTGCTGCTACTGCAAACCGAGAACAAGTAAGTCGTCGACGATCCTTTCGCTTCATCGTCAGCCATTTAAACGTTTGTCTCGACGAAGTAACTCTTCGACGATGTTGGACGTTTCTCGAAAAATTGTCTTTCCAGAAGAAGCTACTACTTGCTGGTGGCTCTGACGCCCGAGGGTCACCTATTGTTCGAAGAGAACACGGAAGGCGTTGCTTGCGGCGTTAAGCGGGAGAACACGAACTTCCTGAACGGCGCTCGTCACAGCGTCTACTATGTCCGTGACAACAACACCACCACGCTTTGGGTGCGTTCATCGCCCGAATAAAACAAAACAGTCGCCAGGTTCCAGGCTCGACGAGAAAACGTTGACAGGATCGATCGTCTTTTCCGCAGGTCGACAGAGAGAAGGTGGAACTGGCGCCGGAGTCGGTACTGAAGCTGGGCGACGGCGAGGGCGAGAGTCCCGGGGTGACGGAGATCCAGTTGGGCGGATTGAACACGACCGATTCCCGTTTCCGCGAGTTCAAAGGGTACACCGGCTGTCTGAGCAGTGAGTGAAACGATTCGACCGATACCAATTCCGATTTCTCGACCGGATAGTCCAGTTGTCCCTGAACGATCATCCGGAACGACGTGCGATGTCGCTGTTCTAACGGAATACCGTCTTTCTTATGTTAGACAAAACGATCGTCAGCCACTATGCGAATTCGAAATGACGGATACCCTCTTCTTGTAGACGTCGTGGTATCGATCAACGGAGGTCCTGGCATGAAGCCACTCGAGGAATATATGCTATTTACGAAACAGGGAAGTGAAACCGTCAGGGCGACGATACCGGCCGGCGTGCGGAGCGCGCAGTGCGCTGTCTTCGATGCGCAACCCCGTGGCCAGGATCCGCCCAGAAACGACAGCGTGGTAAGCAACCGAATCACCGATCTCTGAATTATGCGAATTCGCCGGGAAAGATGCATGCATCGAACAGAGAGGACAGCGGAAACGCTCGGAGAACTCAAGGGTTGAACCCTTTCGCTACGGCAGCGCCCACGAGGCGCAAGACTCGAATCAATCGTGTCTCCTCTTTCCAAATTGTCCATTTTTGTGCGCAATCTGACCGTCGATAAGGGAGACGTTGCTGTATATGCGGCGCTCGCGAAAGGGTTAATCGTCGAAGCCCCTTCAACTCGGGAAAATAATAGCGATAGAAGATGAACGTTTAGAGCGCGTCGTTTCGATTTTCCGACCGACATTTTCCATCGGAAGCACGTTCGCGGGGTTATGACAGTTCGAACGTCGAATGTTGGCAGGGTCACGACCGAGCGTGGGTGGAGGACCCGCCCAAGAAGATACAGTACAAGTCGCAATATTCCGACGCGACCCAGGAGGAGCAGGGTGCCGGTACTTACATCTTCATCGTGCTTTGCTGCGTGTTCGTGACCGCCGTTGTCGGCTGCATCTACGAGGTCTGGCGAAGCGCGAGGAAAGACCGAAGACGCAGAAGGGCGTCGGTGGTCTCGGCGACGTCGACGGTGCCGGCTTCCAGCTCCCAGAGATGGCAATCGCCGCAGTACACGGACGCGATCGGGGCCGGGGTGAAAACGGTAGGCTTCAAGACTGTCACCGAGGACGAGAAGAGGCCGAACGGCACCCACGTCAAGCCGCCGAGCAAAGAGTACAAACCGCTGCCCAACGCGGAGTCTAAAGACTTAATTAACGATAAAAGGGTTCATATTAAAGGTAGGTTCCACGTAACACGCGAACTCGCTTCGCGTTCGCTTTAGAGCTTTTCGTTGGTAAAAAGCGCGGTAGAACTCAGCGATTTTGTCGCTTCTTAATTTTGCAGCAGATGAAGAATCAGAGAAGAAGGAGCTCCTAGGGGTAAATACAGGCACCATCACTAAACCTCCGAAACCAAATCCATTCGTAAAGATTTTTTGTTTTTTTTATAAAATTTACATATTAAGTTCTAAGCAGCTTTCAAAGAGGACGATCGTGCCTCGTTGATTCTCGTCGTACGTTTCGTCGTACGACTCGACGGAACGCGTATAACCGCGTGAAAATATCGCGGTGTCTCCCGTTTAATAATAAACACGTCCACTTTGCAGGCTGGCTGTGAAAGTTTCGTTTACTTAAAATATAACGTTACAACAATGATGAGAAGTATTGTTAGCAATATCAGCGACGATATCTGGTAGAATCTGTTTTATTCGGTTGTTCTTCTTCGATTCTATTTTACTCGGCTGTTTCGGCTGTTTGAAAATTCTTGAACTTTCGAGAACCGTTTAGTCGACTTGCAACGTTATTTCTTGAAGAGTGTTTCGAAATAGATAGATATTTTAACGCATTATTAGACTGATTGTTGCAGTAATCGCGCGCGGAATAAAGAATTCGCGTTCGAATGTACCGAATGCTTCGTTTGTAGTCGATGGAGGATCTGCAGGAGGAACCGGAACTGGAGGAACGCGAGGAAGAGGAGGAGGTTGAGGAGGATGAAGAGGAGGAGGAGGAGGAGGAGGAGGAGGAGGAGGAAGAGGAGGAAGAAGAGGAGTACGAGGGAGAAGAATGCGAGATAGCGGACGAGGGGGAGGAGGTCGTCGAGGACGCGACCGAGGGTGCACAGAGGAAGAAGGGTAAGAAAGCGGAGCCGAGGGAGATCGAGCTCAAGGAGACGGATCACGTGGCCAGGAGCGTGCCGAGGGAGAAAAAGACGAGGGCCGACGAGTTCGGAGCGGACCCGAACCGTAGGCAAATCCCGGAAACGAAACCGTGCGGCGTCTCGACGTCGACGCCGACGACCCCGTCCGTGGCCTCCTCGTCCCCGCCGACGGAACCACCGCCGCCGCCGCCTCCGCCGCCGCCTCCGAGGCCGCAATCAACCTTGGACAGGTCGATGTACTCGTCGCCGCTTCCGCGCCAGGAGCCGCAACAGCACGAGACCCTCAGCCCACCGGAGGGTTACAAGGACGTCTGCTCGAACGGAGAGGTCCCCGACGCGCCGGCACCCTGCCTCAGGACCTCCTCGGATCATGTTCGGTGTCGTAGACCGCCAGGTGAGCGTTGCGCAACTCGCGCCGCCTTCTGCGACGCTCCNGAGGAACGCGAGGAAGAGGAGGAGGTTGAGGAGGATGAAGAGGAGGAGGAGGAGGAGGAGGAGGAGGAGGAGGAAGAGGAGGAAGACGACTCGAAGCGAACGAACGAGGACGCGGAGGAGGCGGACAGAAGGAATTTACCAAAAGTGGAGATCGCAGATGAGATAGATGTCGCGAAGTCGGTAAGAAAAACTTCGAGAAGTTACTCCTTGAATAGATAGGCGACGGAACACCCTCTGGGCTCGAAGATCTCCCGATATCTTAGCGCAGTTGACGCAATTGACGCGATCCATCGATGTTCGATCGATCGAACGAAATTTTGAGCAACGTTCGATTCAGCGAACTTCTTACCGAGCTCCTATTATCTAAACTAAAGTTCTACTGTATTTAAAAAATAATAATAATAATAATTTCGCGTCGAAACGAACGCGAACTCTATTTGTTTGCTAATTTAATCGGTCGGCGACAACATGGCGGGTCTCGGTTCCAGAAGGGACCTTCTTCGACGAAAAATCGATCACGAACGAAAGGAGACCACGAATTCAAGGACTGACTTTTTTTTACCGGTAGAATAAATGTTGTCCAAGACTGTCACGCGCGCACACATCGATATTATTTCATTCCTCCTCTCTCATCTTCATCGTTTTGTTTCGACTTTACCCACGCCGGCTTTGTATGTGTATTTCCACGGTTTTTTTTCCTTTTTTTTGTCAAATAAATATGCAATATTGATTATGTTACGAATAAAAGCATCCTTGACGAAAACGCTCCCACGAGATTCATTTGCTCACCATCGATAGAAAAAAGAAAGAAAAGGCTAGGGCGACGAGAAACTTTGCAAGCTCGAAGGGGCGTAATTAAACGGAGACAATGTGTGGTACTTTCAGCCGGATAATTCGTCTAGGATAAGTATCGAGGAGATCGTTGAGTCGTTAGACACCAAACCCGAGCACGGTGACGCAAATACGGAGAACCCAGTCTAGAGGTATCGCAATCGTAGTCGACGCAAAGTCAACGGTCGCTCGAGGGTCCATCTTTCGATTAACAATGAAAATAATAAAATCGACTAACTCGGATAATAATCGAGTAACCGATGTCCTCGAGCCGCCAGTTGTCTTCAATACGGCTATAGTTACAAAGCTTGCTTCGTCCGAATCGTGTCCGTGCTCCCCCTTTTCCTCGCGAAAAGTCCTCGCGAATTACATAAATACGCACGATGGATTATCGGTAACAGCTTCCTAAACACATTTTGCATTTCGCGCTTGCTACTTGGCCTTCGAAGAATGCGAGACACGTTGCAAAAAAAGCTCGACGGACGACGAAGTTCCGTCGAAAAATCAGGCCAACCGTTTCTGTTGCATGAATTCGCCGAGTCGCGGAATTACTTCGCGCGATCGTAAACTCAATTCGTTTCTAACGAACGCATCGATCAATATTGCATCAGGCCGAGAACGAATGCATTCTGTCGCATGCAGCACGAGAAAAAGTTTCTGTTCTAGGAAGCGAATTAATTATGGTTTCGGCATCCGACCAGCTTTCATTCATTCGAATCATGGTAGAAACGTGCTGTACACGATTTCTTTTAAACAGAATTTCTCGCCCGATTTAGGTAAACGTGTGCAACGCTATCGAACGATCGCCGTCGCTCGAAAATCCGTCTACAGGTCAGTAAAATATTTCGAAAGCCGCAAAGAATCGTAGAATCTCTATCGTGATCCCAGTTTAAGGATCTCGACACTTTAATCGACAAAATATAATTATTAGACTGCGGATCTTTGTATAAAATGAAAATGATCTTCATCCATTGCAACAGACATGAGTTATCAAATTGAAATGTCTTCCTTTCGCTCTTTTTTTCATTCTTTCTTTCTTTCTTGCTTTCTTTCTTTCTATCTTTATTTAATAATTTCAGCGAGCTGAAAATAATACGCAGACGTCCCTGAATCCTTTTAATATTTCCATTGTCTCGAATTTCACCCGGCCACTTTCATTATAAACGCATAAAATCCGCAATCTGGTAATCACTGTCTGCGGCAGAAAGTCGAATGAAATTGACTTTCGACTTTCCGTCCCTTAATGGGACGATCGAGAAAACGATTGCATAGAATCTGCTCTCGTTGGGCAGCCCTGATTTTTCAAATAACCACGTAACTTTGTAGATACTGCGAAGCCTTTGCTTTACAAACTGCCACCTATCTATCTGTCGGACGACAGAAGAACGTTCGGAAGTCCGCTGAATTATCTAGCCGCCTCGAATTTTCACTCAAGAAGCAGACATTCCGTAGAATCGATACTCTCCCTGGACTGATCATCCTTCCGTCGAGAAACGATCGATCGTTTACTTTCGTGTCACGTTGTTATCGGTCGAAGTGACAACGACGAGAACGGATCGACGAACGGAATACATACATTGTTAACCGAGAATTCGACGAAGAAATGTGTGTATGTTACTTACGAAGTATGTAATATTTTCGTTAGCAAATTAGCGACGGAGATCGTCGTCGTTCGATGTTGTATGAAACGATGTAATTGAACTGTGTTTTGTCATACTTCGTGTATTTACAGTCGCTCATTAAAGTGTTTGGACGAATTGGATGGAGCCCGGAGCTTTTGTTGTAGACAATTTCGAAATTCGAACCGTTTTTAGCATAGGGGTATAGTGGGGAATATAACAAAGAGGGGGTTAATATCTTAAAACAGGCCTCGGAATTAACCGGCACGGGACACGAGGGTCGCGAGGACTACGCCTACCGAAAAAGGAGGCGTTAGCCCTCGCGATCATCGTGTTGCGTGCCAGTTAATTCCGTGCCCTGTTTTAAAGGGATAATAAAAGTATAAAATATTTTAATAGGTTGGAAATAATATAAGTTCTATTAATATTTCCATAGTTCTCAATTTGCTGTCTATATATTGTATTCCCAAGAGTGTAAATAATACGAATGAAAAATTGAATACTGCAAAAAATCAGATCGAAATAGCGTTCAAATATTTTTAACGAGAATGCGATTGCCTTTTTTAAACGTGTAACAGCATATCTTGGAAATGAAGGTTTTTAGATGCGGATAGTCGAAATACTTCCATGAACGACTGTGCCTTGCTAAAGATTATCTATTCGTATAATCATGTTAACAGTATTGTCGTCGCTTCTAATCATCGTGCATTCGATGCAACCGTTTCAATGGGTGCTTGTGAACGATTTCAATGAATGATTCAATGTGTTGAACAACGAAATCTTTCCACGAGAATATAGAGATGACACGCGAGAATCGAACGTCTAGACGAAATATTTTATTATAGCTCGAGCATATGCGAAGCAAGGTTCCGTAACTTATTTTAGGAATAGATGGTTCGCAAGTTACAAACGTAAACGTAGATCGAGAAATTGAGCGGACCAATTGCGTAACGTGTCTCAATCGAGGCAAACGTTTGTTCACATTTAATTAAAAGAAAATAAAAAGATACAAATAAAGTTCTTGGCATATATAGAATATGAAATTCTGATGCGTCCTGTAGGGTGAAGATTAAGAACAACAGAAACTGTCCAACACAGCTTTGATTTCCTATAGCCACTATATAAGATCCTTGTAGAGCTTCGCTTGCCGAACGAGAATCCGGAAATCGAATTGCTCCATCTCCTTCGGTTTTCGAAAAACATGAGTTTTTTTAAAGGTCCAGAATTTTTCAACAAAAATTAGGTATTGCATGAAAAGTAAAAACGTTAGAAAGTTCTAATCGGTCTTAAAAGATAGAGGAGAGTTTCCCGAATATAGTGGCATACAATTTATTCATTGCTTTTGGTCCTAAATAGCTATAAATTAATGTAAAAGTTTAAGAAAGCACCGACGTGCGTGGTTTCTCTGCAATATTTTTGTATTTTNGGTTAATATCTTAAAACAGGCCTCGGAATTAACCGGCACGGGACACGAGGGTCGCGAGGACTACGCCTACCGAAAAAGGAGGCGTTAGCCCTCGCGATCATCGTGTTGCGTGCCAGTTAATTCCGTGCCCTGTTTTAAAGGGATAATAAAAGTATAAAATATTTTAATAGGTTGGAAATAATATAAGTTCTATTAATATTTCCATAGTTCTCAATTTGCTGTCTATATATTGTATTCCCAAGAGTGTAAATAATACGAATGAAAAATTGAATACTGCAAAAAATCAGATCGAAATAGCGTTCAAATATTTTTAACGAGAATGCGATTGCCTTTTTTAAACGTGTAACAGCATATCTTGGAAATGAAGGTTTTTAGATGCGGATAGTCGAAATACTTCCATGAACGACTGTGCCTTGCTAAAGATTATCTATTCGTATAATCATGTTAACAGTATTGTCGTCGCTTCTAATCATCGTGCATTCGATGCAACCGTTTCAATGGGTGCTTGTGAACGATTTCAATGAATGATTCAATGTGTTGAACAACGAAATCTTTCCACGAGAATATAGAGATGACACGCGAGAATCGAACGTCTAGACGAAATATTTTATTATAGCTCGAGCATATGCGAAGCAAGGTTCCGTAACTTATTTTAGGAATAGATGGTTCGCAAGTTACAAACGTAAACGTAGATCGAGAAATTGAGCGGACCAATTGCGTAACGTGTCTCAATCGAGGCAAACGTTTGTTCACATTTAATTAAAAGAAAATAAAAAGATACAAATAAAGTTCTTGGCATATATAGAATATGAAATTCTGATGCGTCCTGTAGGGTGAAGATTAAGAACAACAGAAACTGTCCAACACAGCTTTGATTTCCTATAGCCACTATATAAGATCCTTGTAGAGCTTCGCTTGCCGAACGAGAATCCGGAAATCGAATTGCTCCATCTCCTTCGGTTTTCGAAAAACATGAGTTTTTTTAAAGGTCCAGAATTTTTCAACAAAAATTAGGTATTGCATGAAAAGTAAAAACGTTAGAAAGTTCTAATCGGTCTTAAAAGATAGAGGAGAGTTTCCCGAATATAGTGGCATACAATTTATTCATTGCTTTTGGTCCTAAATAGCTATAAATTAATGTAAAAGTTTAAGAAAGCACCGACGTGCGTGGTTTCTCTGCAATATTTTTGTATTTTTATGAAAAGTTCTTTGCCTAGCACTGAAACTCGACCCAGGATCGGATTCTGTAGACATTTCAGAAGAAGAAACTGCTCGGTAGAAGTATCGAAACGACTTACATTTCGAGCAGGCCGAAAAAATATCCGTCGGCCTTTTTTGTTCCTCAACCCGCTCCCGAAATCGTCAACTGCGGGCCAATCGTAGTACAGCGCCACGGCCGCTAGAGCGCAGCACCTCTCGCTGAAGACTATCAGTACTCTAGCTTCACACCATGGCCGCAAGATGGCCACGACTCTCGAGCGCGTTCTCGCTGCTGAAAACTGTCGGCAGTAGGTATAAATACGGCTGATTAACAATAAATTAGGAGTAGTCAATAATACCGAATGCATGACCATGTTCAACGCGACGAGATTCTTATCCAAAGAATCCGATCACCAAATTGTCGGCACTATATTCCTCCCCCGTGTTTGTTATCGCAGTATTTATAGTGGGTAACGAAAACATTTGAACACTCTATAATAGTATATACTTTTGCAGTATATTGATTAAATAATACCAAAATATTCTTGTAAAATAACAATATCAAAATAACAAAATATTTACAAACTTCCGATATCATTGAATCGTTTGAGCTTTTCTGGAAATACATCTTTAAATAAGACTGGATCTGCACGAAATTCAGCCGATTCTAACGGCATTGATCCATATATTGAAGAGAATCTATTAATGCATTGCGTGCGTTCTACCATGTGTGTCAAGTCTGCTGAAAGCATTTCGGTATTCGTACATTCTGGACATCGAAACTTTTTCTTTGGTGTTACCTGCAATAGAAAAAAAAATAAATTATAACATATCGAAACCTCGTGACAATGAATATTTATGAAATCTTATTATGTATACTTTTATTGGTGGTTTGCCTGTAATATTTGCTACTAAAAAGTTCATAGCTATATCTTCGCAATTCATATGTTCGTCAACCCATTCCTTTATGTCACCTGGCATAGCAGTTGTGTACATGTAACTCCAATACTAAAATATTAATAATACGTTAACGTAATCTCAAATATATATCATAAAGATAAAATTAAAATGATTATGCTTTTACTTCGCTAAGATATTTATATTCGGGTATATCGGCAAATCAAAAGGAGAATTTACAGCAAAATGGGATTTTTCAAATTGGAATTATTATATCTCGGTTAGATATAGACTGCAATTTAGGAATCTGAAATAAAAATTGATTGGATACTACATTTTTTAAATAATAAGTCACATGCGTATTACTTTATGATGGAATGCAGCTCCGGTTAAAACCATAGAAATACTATTGGTCCACTCGCTTTCATATTTCCAACAATTGGTGCCGTTATCCCACATATGAATTCGAGATGGGAACCCAACAATTCGGTCTGGAAATTCCCTCCACACCTATAATTTTTTTCAGTATTATCTTCAAATTTTATCTGAATATTATATAAGACAAGATACACAGAAGAGGAGAACACCTAAATATTTCTATTACTTCGAGATATATTAAACAAACAGTTTGATATTGACTTAAACAATTACTGCATATATCTGTATTAACAGTAATGATATGTAGGTGTTCGTTTAGTAGATGCCTTAGCTTATATGTGTCTGTAATGAAAAAACCTCATAAGCAAATTCTACTTCATCTGCTGTCAACATTATAATATCATCATCTATCGATAGAATGGCTTCAGTTTCAATTTCATTGTATGGATAAAATCTGTTAGATAATTTATTTTCCTTTGTTTGTATAACTTTTAGTGGTTTGCTCAATTTTGGCCATTTGGATGCTGCAATATATATAATTTTATGCATTATTTTGCTATTTATATGTTTAATATGAATGTATTATTGGTAAACCATAGTTACAATGTGGAGGATCTTTGTGCTGATTATTCCATATTACTAGAACTTTAGACAAACTTGGAACTTTAACAAGTTTATTAATCAAAAGGAATAGTAATTCCAATCTATCGTAAGTCAAAATTACAGCGGTAAATCCTCGAGTTTTTGGTGCAGTGACTGGTAAAGATAGCGGTGACGTAATGTCCTATATAAATAGCAAGAATATAATTATTTTGATAAAATCGCATGCTTTTGTACTAATTAATATGTTTATACTTTCTTTATGGGGAGGTACGTTCCAAAATATATAATCTCTAGCTAAATATGGAAATACACGGTCTGCAAGTATTTCTAATGTTGTTTCTGTTATCTTCTCTATTGATTTAAAATATTTTTGATAAAGCCATGATCCTTGCTCTTGAAGTTCTATAATTCGCTGTGGCGATACTTTTTTCAAAACCGACATTATTGACAATATATCCGCTTCCGATACAAATATAGTAGCTCTACATGAAAAAAACGGTCACTTATTCTGTATAATACTATCAAATATCTTTACTTTATATATAGCAATTAAGATAAGATGATTATCATTTACCTGCTCCAATCAATTACATCATAAAATGGCATTACAAGAGAATCAGCTATAATTACAGGTATACTTCCTGCTGCCATACATTCTAGAAGTGTACTCTGACCCAGTCTTGCTCCACGAATAACTAGACAAAATGTTGCAGTCTAAAATGAAAACTTTTGGTGAAGTTATCAGGAAAAAAATTTTTTCATTATAATAAAATTTGTTAAAACACGTTATAATTTACGTAAAGTGTACCGCCCAAATTACTTATCGACTAAAAGGTCTGTTTGAGTTTTATTCTGTATAATATGCTACTCAAAGAAATTACAGTATAGATAAATTTTGAATAAAAATTAGCCAAATACATCAGCAAATATCACTGGCATTTACTAATATGTCTTACAATCAGTATTCCTCCATGTAACAAAAACTTAAGAGGTAATTTAGGTGGCACGCTTAAAACATTTAACATACTTGAAGAACGTTTGGATATTTATACCAATCTTCTCCAGCACATCGCACTGTCGCATTAACAGAATTATAATGTATACATGGACCTAATATCAAAATATCTTTTGGTGATATAGCTTTTATTTCTAATAAATCTTGTTCAAAAGCAGAATTAATATTAATTTGTGACGAAATAGCTAACCAAATCCTAAAAACAACATAAACAATTAAAACAGAATATTATTTGAACGAAATATATATAGGGTGTCCCATTTGAAGTAATGCACTCGATTATACTCCAAAATTTATATTCTATAATTCATTTCAAAAGATACCAAATATTGCTATTTTTTTAAGAAACTCTATATTTTTTTCATGTAAACGAATCGTTCAAGGTCATATAAACTTTGGGATATATTACGTGCATTACTTCAAATGAGACACACTTTATATACAGAGTGGGGCATTTAAAATAGGTTACATATGAATTTGTCTTTAACAATGGAGATAAAAGCTCCAGTTTTTTGTAAGAGCTTTAGTTTTTATCATATCAAGGGACATAGATACAAACTTGAACATCTTCATTACAAAGTCAGTGTACGTTATCAAAAGTATTATGTAATATCGATAATGTTGTATCTGTATTCCTTGATATTATAGAAACTAAAACTCTTACAGAAAGTGCTTCAAACAAATGTTACTCCTTTTTCTTACATAGAATGCCTCCACCCATCACAAAATTATTGTCACCATATTATGTGACAATAATATGTGTTGTTTCCATGATCAAGTTTACAAAATTTACTATTATAGTTTATATATATTTAGGATTTATTACCTTGTATTATTCAAAGTAGGTTTAAGATTGTTTATGAAGGAACTATACACTGGTAAACTAATGTCGAAACCAGGTCTATATGTTAAAGATGACATTCCTGCACCTGCAATCATTGCTTTTCCAATGGGTACATCAATGATTGTATTGTAATCTGGTACATTCCCAGGAACCATATTAAATATAAGATGATTTTCACCATTATTCCAGCTGAAATTTTGAAAATATGATACAATTACTATTTATTTTATTGCATACAGTAAATAATATTTATTAGAGGATATTAATCATATATTTATATGTTTATGTAAATGGAACCTGTGTTCATGTAAATGTTCAATGAATAGTTCCCAATAGATATTAAAACAAATAAAAACAATGGTATACATATACTATAGTTCTGATAAATACATTGCATTATCTTATAAATATAATACATTAATGAAATAAAGAATGAAAGAAAACTTACAATGGTAAAGCCTTTAAGGCTTTTGAAACTTCATGTAACTTTAATCTGTTCTGATTCAATGTATCAATCGAAGGAATAAATATACACGCTTCGTATGGATTTGGTGTATAAAATTTACTTGAAATAATAGTACTCAAAATTTGATAAAATTCTTTTGTCATCTGACTGGTTATAGGTCTTTCTGAAGTATCCACATACACTTTTGGTGGATAAACATATATTAAAAGTTTATTTCCTTGACTGCCACATCGATAAACATTAAAACAACCAAAATATGTACAAGAAAGATTTGTAGTATCTCCTACCAAGGAATCTACATCTAGCATTTGTGTATGAAAAAAATTTAAGTCATTAATGCTTATAGCATTATGTACAGAATGTTTTTGGGTACTTCCAAACTTCAAAATATGATATGTTGTAATTAGAATTATAAATAATGTAAATGTTAACAAGCATATCATAAACACGTTTTGATTTTGGTATGAAAATTTATTTATTTTACGTGACGTTCTTATTGGAAATGACATGTTGATTTCACTTTGCTTCCATGTTACAATTTATGTGCATTCAAGTCATACTTCACTTCATAACATAAAGATATTAAAATTGGTAATAAATTATGTTTATTCGACTTCATTAACTTTTTTGCAATTTCATTATATAATTTATGTCATGATTAAAATTTCTTACAAACAATATTTGTCACTATACATGTAAAAATAAAGGTATATTCCTAGCAAAGTGACGGGACGCGAAATTACATGTATTATACACCAATGCTTCGTTTTGACACGTGTATCGCGGAAATAAAGATCTTTTTCTGCGGAAATGTATCGTAACTAAGAAACTTGTTATTAAAATCTTCATACGGCTGTTAATATATCCAATATGGCAGTCATCAGCAGCCATTGACGTCAAATTACTAAAAATTCATCACTCCACCGTTGACGGCGCTGAGATAGAAAATCTTCATATCTTACTTCACTGCATTCTTACACCGAGCTGACAAATTTTGATTTTAAAATTTAAGTAACTAATATGTTTGTTGCAATAAAGAATTTATCACATTTTTTCTTTTTTAGTAGTTAAAGTGAATTTGTAGACCCAAGAAATTACTTACTAATTTTTTTTGTATAGTTCGGTATAACATCAACTGTGTGCTTCTGACGACACTTTGTACATATTTGCGATTGAGGTGTTGTTAATTTTGCAATACGAAAGAAGGTTTCATTTATACTAAATATATTAAATTTACTTATCAATATTTTATTGTTAATTAAACTCAAGCATAGCATACATATTTTGGTAAATTACGTTTAATGAGGACAGTGAATTGTAACATAATCTTTATATTGATAAGGAATTATGGAAATAAATCCATTAAGTACAATTCTTGTGAAAAGTGACAGCAAAGGTGATAGACTCTTGTTTCGTTATCCACATATAGCCAAACACATACGAGATTCCAATCAGTGTACAAAAAGAAAAAACCCTTATTCTTTAACTATAGCAGAAGATTCATTACAGGTCAGCTTTACAAAATATTCTAATAGTGTAATGTTTATTCGGTGTTCAATAAATACTAAAGAATACAAAGTATAAATGTATATGGCTATGTATTCCCTAAACGTATGCAGTAATTTAATATTTACTACATTTTTTAATAGTCTTTACCTTTCTCAACCTCCAACGTAAGCAATGGAAATTTAACTGGAGTAACCGATGAAGTCTTGTCAACGTTATTTGCTGTTAAACCAGAATTGTGTGAACAGAAGTTTGAATTAAAAGTAAACGATGTTCGCTTTGTTGGACACCCAACTCTCGTTCCATCTCGTGGATTAAAAGAAGTAAATTCTTCTATGCTATTTAATATAGTCTTTGCCCTTCCTGCACAAGCAAGTCACTCTATAGTAAAATGTTATTACGATTTAAGTAAAAGGTTTGTAACATCTTATGATTATTGAAGCAATTGAAACATAGGAATTCTTATATACAACTCATTTTAGATTAGGTATAGCATTGAGGCACGAAGAAAAAAGATGTGGATTTTTAACAGAAGAAATCAAAATTATGGTTTCTACTCATGACGAAGTTGCTACTAGGTATATGGGATATTGTTGATTTTAACTAAAAAAAAAAAAAGAAATTTAAAAAGAGGATAATAAAACTTTGTTATACCCATGTTTAGATCGGAAGGTGAAAGTGATTGCGATGAATCACCGTACGAATTAATATTGCAAAGAAGCTTACTTGCACGTGATTTAAAATCTGTGTTCAATAGTCTCAGTACTTCTGGAATTATTAATATTATGATCAATAAATGGATTCAAGTTCGTTTCTGCCTACCACAAAAAGTTCATCAATCCCATAAGAAAGGATTTGTTATTAATCCAGAAATAATAGATAGGCTAGTATTAAATTAAATTACAATTTTTAAAAATTAAAGTGACTTATTACTTATTATTATATATAATTCTATTACAGATGTTTAAATAGTTTAAGACCATATCATGGTTTATTATTACTTATTGAGCCATTAAACTTGTTGGATACGCTTCCTATAGATTCTTCTCCAGCTCTTAAATGTCTTATTCAGATGTACAGTCCATTGAAAAGTTTGCAAACTTTAGCTGCTGATTCTGACCTTACGCTTACTCAAGTTTTTCAATTAACCGGTCATCTAGTTTACTGGGCCAAAGCTACTATAATTTATCCCCTTTGTGAAAGCAACGTGTATGTTATATCACCAGATGCTGTTATCACAAATCAATTACTAGAGGCATTTTCTGAAGAATTTCCAGGGCTATGTCTTTTACAAGTCAGTATGAGAAAGCTTATTATTACATGTGTATAAACATAAAATTAAAATTTAATTATCACTTCATGTAGGTTATTAGTGATTTTTCATTGCCAACGTCGATAAGTCAAAAATTGAATCCTTTGAATCAATCGCAACAACAAACGCAATTAGTAAAAATAATAATATGGTTATTAAAAAATCATTTGCTTTTACAATTGCACACATATGTGCAGTACATGCCAACTGTACATGGTCGAATACCTCTGGTAAGTTTAAGAAGTAATATATTTATAAAACATTATTAATTAAAGATTTGTTTTCTGAAGGATTTAAAGGATGAAACTAATTATAACATAAAAGAAATCACCGAAAGTGGCAGTACAAGAAATTTGAATGACACTTCAAAAGGAACTTCAACTGATATGAAAGAAGAATTATTATTAAATCTTCATAAAGAAAATGGTATATATAATTATCAATCAGAAGATTATGATATTCCTTCTGATGACAGGAAATTACTTGACAAACTCTGTCGTCTTGGATATTTTAATGGAGGGCATCACTTGGAAGAAATTATGTATTTAGAAAATATACGTAGGTCTCAAATATTACAGATTTTAGATAAGTTTCGAGATGTATTAATTACATGTGAATGTGAAGACCCTGCTATAGCTTTGTTTTTTAGTCAATTTGGTTCTTAGCATTTTAAATATAAATATACTTTCAAATCAGCTATTGCTTATGTTTGGTGAATATTACTTGAAAAACATTGTAAAATATTTGAAGATAGCATTACAGTACTGTATAAATACAACAATATTGTAATAAGCATTGGATAAAATGGAGAAAAGTTAAATTTAATGTATCAAAATAGATATTTTGTATATATTAAAAGTGTGCGGGAATTTCTGAAACCCGATGCTTTGGATGGAACAGGAAGACGCGGATCAGGACGGGATGAGATCCCAAAAAATTCGGGATTCCCGAGAAAATTCAAGATTTCTGATACTGTACGAAATCTTTCAATATTGTTTTGTCATCTATCTATAATATAGATTAGTTTGACTATGCATAGTCTTTAGCAATATATTAACAAACCAGAACCGATTCTCGGGAATCCTGAAAGAAAGAATCCGGTCTCGCACACCCCTAGTATTTGTATAAATTAAGAATATTATTGTGCGAGGCCTTAGCATTCGTTAAGGCATTTCTATGAAATATGTAATAAAAGACAGTCAATGATCTCAATTCAATTCATGAGACTTAAGAATAAATAATGAACTACTTCATACATAAAATTATGTGAGAAGTCAAAACTTTTGACAAATATTTTTTTTCTATCGGCAATCCATGCGGAAACGGTGTAGACAGCATACTATTCGACCAAATACATATGAAACACTTGGTATTTATAATTTACTGGGAAATGTATGTCAATTTCGTGACAAGACTCAAAGTTTGGTTCGCATTTGTTGCCAAATCGGTGGCAAACCTTCGCGAAACGTATCGTTTCGATTTCGTTTGCCACACTCATGTGGCAGATGTAGATAACAATATTTTCTATTTTATTGATAATTTTGACAGAGGGCCTAACCACAGACACACACTTAGGATCCGTGCAGACATTGCATGCAATGCTTTTTTTTGTCTCAGGGTCTGAATTACCGACTCTGTAGAAAATGCTGTGGTACAATAGTTGAAAGTAGGCAAAAATAGGTAAAAAGAAAGTAAACATAAAGACTGAAAATAAGACTAAGCCAAGAGAGGAAACTATACAGTACAAAGAATATAGAAAAGTAAGATGATTGTACAAAATTGTGATTATATACATTTATATATATATAAGCGTTATAAGCGGGAAATATTGCAAATCGACATTTTTAAAAACAAAAAAGGTTGTTCATAATTATCGTCTGATAATATACTTCAGGGTCAACAAAATTGGTGAAGTTATTTAATTTTTTATTTAACATTGCATTTATATTAATTCTTTGTTATGTTAGTTTGTAAAAATAAACTTTTATTATAATAATACTTCTAATAATATTATACTAACTTTGATACTACTACTTAACTCTCTCTCTCTCTACTGGAGACTGTTTTATATTGCTTTACATAAATAACAAATATATACTTATTATAGCCATTTTAACAGGTTTCATAAATCTAGTATTAATGCTAATTCTACTCTTTCTTTTTAATATTTTCAATGCAGTTTGTTCATTGAAATACAAAGTATTATTTACTAATACACTTTATCTCAAAGTGATTAGGCTTGTTACACTTAGTACATACTTTTCCTTGTGCAGGGCACAATGATTTTGCGTGATCAGTTCCACATCTGGGACAATTTTTTATTACAGGCATTTGACATTTCCAGGAGTAATGGTTACTCTTACCACATTTGCAACATGTATAACCAAAAGCTGGACACTCAATTTGTTTATGGTTAGTTCCACATTTCGAGCAGTTTTCAACAAACTTGGTACTAGATTTACAGTTCTCTGTGAAATGATTAAATTTTTTACAAGTATCACATTGTTTTCCATGAGCAGGACAATTATTGTGTGTGTGTCGTTTTCCACATCTGATACAATCAATTATAATCCTCTGTTTAACAGTTTTCTTGGGAACATCAATTTTGCAATGATCTTTCTTAAAATTTTGAAATGTCGCCAATTCCGAAGTAATTTCACTTAAGGTTAATGATCTTAAATATGTCTCCATCTCAGCATTATGCCCAGCTGTTGTAATATCATTAATCAATTTTTCTTTTACAATACAATCAATATCTGGATGATTGCTATCTGTAGCAAGTTTCTGAAAGACAAATATTTTTATTGTAATTATTTATAAATTTTACAATTATCGTATTGTTATAAATTATCCAAGTATTATACCTTTAAATCATTAACATATTCATTTATATTTTCATTTGGCTGTAATTTTTTAGATTTATAAATAAAGTATATGTCAAACTTCAAAAGTAAAGCATTAAAGTTATCTTTAAGTGACACGTCATTTGTAGATATAATTTTATAAGCTTCCTGTCCTATTGGACCAATAAACATTAAAAGATAATTCCCCCAACTGTTTTTGCATATTTCGGACTCATCTTCGTATTTTAGAAAATTTAAGAATTTGGATCGCCAGCAGCACCAGCTTTTGCTCAGATCGCCACTATCATTTTTTAGTGGCTGAAGAAATTTTGCTTCGTCCTTTGTTCCATTATCTTAAAGAATTTTCTTTTATAAATCACACTTTCGGTGTTACATACATACAATATTATAAATATTTAAACACAAATTTTACCTGTCGAGAACATATTTACTATTCCCGATAAGACATAAACACGAATATGTAAACACGTATATAATTGTTGGGTATATTATACTATTGATACTTATCAATGTGACAGTGGAAATAGCTACAGATTTTTCCAGATAAAGTATGAGTCTGTGAACCAGTGTAGCCACTGGCCTTCAATATGGGCAAACAAAGGGACCCGTATGAACTGGCTCACGATAGTAACCAATATTAATGAAACATAGCTCAAAAAATTGTTCTTTAATTGCCCATAATTGCTCACCAATTAGTTTTAATTTCTCGCTATTTCTTTTTTGAGAAATATCCAAAAACCTTTCCTGAGACGCCTAGGGACTTTGATGAGAGATTGGTAGCTCCCTAACTCCCTTCTTCCACGCGTCATAGAGCGAAGCTGGATTATGCTCACTGGCACTACCACCATTTAGCTCCCAAACTCGCGTCTCATTGGTCACTGTTTTTCATTAATAACTTATAAACAAAGCCGCGGGTTGCATTTTCGCCAAAGAAAAAGTTACTTGACCTCAGGAATTTCAGATTGCGAGACATTTTTGGGACACCCTGTATGATTCTGCTGCCATGCATTATAACTTTGTAATCAAGGCTAAATTAAAGTGTAGTTTTTAATTAATATTACAAATGGTACTTTTTATTAGTTCAATAACTAAATTAATAATAAAAGACATATAAACTACATGCATCAAGTATTTACAAAAATAGATGATACAAAATTCATTTTTATTACAATATTTAATTTAGAATAAAATATAATTGTTTCATTAGTAGCATTATTTATTATTGGACTTTCTTTTTCTCTTTAATTTTTAAACTTTCTTTAATCTTTGGTACTACTTCTGTGAATATCACTGTCCCCACAAAAACTAGGACTGTACCAAACCAGTGGTAAATTGTAAAAGGATTTCGAAAGTATACTATGGAAAAAAGTAATGATACAAATTTTCTTAATGTTATTACCAACGTCACTGTAAGCGATGAGCATTCTGCTGTTAATACATAAACAGAACTAATGCATACATATCTAAATTAATTGTTAAGGTCGTATACTTATTACTATTGAAATAGTACTCAAATATTTGTAAAAGGATACTGCGTAAGTACGTTTCCTATAAGAAACAGAATTAATTTTGGCACATATATATCTAACATCGATACCCTTAATGGCTCTGAATTAACTGCATAGGTAAAATGATCCCAAATATTAGGTGCCAAAGTTAAAAAGAATGGTAAGGGCAATAAATGCTGGAAAGTTAATAAACATTTTACAAATTTGTTTACATATTGTCAAAGGAATATTAATATAAGTATCAACAAACCGTGTAATATAATGCCTCCTTTGGATTTTTTCCATACTTTTTATGTAACTCCTCTTGAAGGATACCCATTCTAGCAGAAACAAGTAATGCAACTGTCATTAATGATATTCCCAATGCCCACCAAAAGAAATCTTCCCATGGAGTTGTAGGAACATGTTCTACATTTTTACCCCGTAACGATTTGATATCTTTACCACTGATAAGTGTACAAATTGCAATTCCAAAAGTAATCATAATCACTGATAAATATTTGCTAAATGTATAGCTCTTCTTTGAAACAATAACACACATAATCATATTTGCTATCAGAGAACCCTAAAAAAATATGAAACATTAATTATATTTATATCATATACATATCAAGGGCTTATAACTTCGAGGCTTGTTTACTTACAGCTCTGAATATCATATGCAATGGCATAGGAATGTTAAAGTCGAATGCATAATTATTACAAACATTTGCAATAAAGAACATAGTTACCATTACAAGGTAATCCTTTAATCCTATTCTGGGTTTTACATTTCCACATTTTGAAGTGAATATAAAACCTTCTATCGATATAAAAAGGAATTGTGAAAACGTGATCAAATTTCCACCACCAGGATCATCTCTGAAACAAGACAACATGATTTCTTTATGGTTAATGATATGCAAGTTTTATTTGAATGTAACCTCCTCGTGTGATTTACAAGAAATTGTAGGGCTTTATATCTGAATAAAACATACTTACTTTACAAAAAGTTCTAAGAACACAACGTTGCTACAACAGCCGAGAAAAACGCAGAATACTGCGATAGTTGCACGCATAATTAACAAAATACGATATCAAAACACTTAACCTAAACGATCAGGCGGTAGCAGGCTACCTTTCCGAATTTGCTACTTTGAATCAATACTATCGGGCACACGTCGGTTAACTAGTCAGCAATTTCTCAATAACTGGCAATGCATGGTAATAAAATGTATCACATAAACGTCACATGACTTTTTCTAATGGCAGATAAGAGATATGTAGAATAAGGTTACTGTCTGTCTACTGCTGTAGACTGAGTTCCCTTACGTGACAGTGAAACACTACAGTAATCACGCACTACCACAATTAAATTATATATATATACAGTGACAGTTCAAGTTTTGCAAGCTCTCCAGCCGTAGAGTATCTTACGTAAGATACAAATTATGTGTCTTTTATCTTAAATGTACAATGACGATATGAATTTTAAGTCATTAATTTAATACACGCATTCAGATGATTTTATGTTGATTTCGTTATGTTGATGGTGTACATATAATGTATATATACATAAATAGGGATGCTTGAAAAACGGTATAACTTTTTTAAAACTGAACTAAATGATTTGAATTTTTTTTATATGATAAAAGTATTATTCATTGTCTATTAGACAATGACTAAATTTAAAAAAAGCATTCTACTTATGATCTAGTGAACTGGTTCCTATACCATTTAAAAAAGAATTCAAATCGTTTAGTCCAGTTCTAAAAAAGTTATTACATTTTAAAAAGTGTCCGTATATTAATCAATCACCGTATGTAGTCCACGAACTCATCAAATTACCAAAAGTTCATCATTCCACCGTCGATGGTGCTGAGATAGAAATTTTTCAAATCTTACACACTGACGCTCCTTCTTCCATCATATCAACATGGACTTTACAAGGTTACAATCATAACCTTTGCATTTGTTGTGCTGTTCTGTGTTGTGTTGATTGGTGTTGATGAATTGAAAATCCTGACTGAAACATTTAAAAATTGTAGTTACATTTTTAAACATTTTCCTACATAAAAATTATGATGCATGAATTAAACCTACAGCAATTTTGAATATTGATGTGAGTTTCCTAAGTTACTGCGTTTATTTTAATTAAAAGAGCAACAAGTAACTTTCTCAGTGATTTTCTTTTAATATATATTTAAATAAGGACAACATTCATTTGCAGAAATGGTAAAAATAATACTTCTTTCCTTACAATAACTATTAAGAATAATTTTTAAGGAGCAGTAAATTTGTCTTTTGATAAGAAGTTTACTGCTATTACAAGTGAACATAGAACTTTTTCTTTCTTCTTTTGTAGGATGTTCAAAGACATTCTGTGCATACTCTTGTCTTTAGATCTTTAAAGAGAACACATGACATGTTCTTATTAAATCAAGGTACTTTGCCACCGTTGGATCCTAATCTGTAAGTAAATTTGTGAAGTAATAACAATGGAAGTTTTGAAATAATATTTTATTTTTATACAGATTAAGAATGAAAAAATCTTTAAAAGCAAAAGACTGTTATGGACCTATATTAGAACGAGTTAAAATTAATAATTTATCTAAAATGCAAAATGAACATGAAAATTCTGATCCTCCACCGCCTGGTGGTATGTATTTCAATTATTTTTATTTATACAAGTCTGATTTTTGTTACATATAAAAATATCATGTACAGATGAATCCTTTGGTGGAAATAATAGTAATGCAATGGTACCTTATAATCCTTTACACAATAACAACGGAGTTGTTACACAAACAAATGCACACACAGGAGGTAGTACAGTTAATAATATTGTAATGATACCACAAAAAAAGACCCCTTCTATGGCAAAACCAAAATGGCATGCACCATGGAAATTATATAGAGTCATTAGTGGGCATCTTGGTTGGGTAAGATGTTGTGCTGTTGAACCTGGAAATGAATGGTTTGCTACCGGCTCAGCCGACAGAGTTATTAAAGTAAGACTTTGTTTTATTTTGTTCATTTTTCTTGTTGTATTTGCAAGTTTTTGTATCTTTTGTTATTTTTCCATTTACCAATAATTACGAAATACGTAATTTTTTAAATTTCTTTTTACTTAAATAAATCTCATAATATCTTATAATATCTCATATAATAGTGTATACTTTTTACATTATTTTCACGTAAATAATTTAGATATGGGACCTTGCAAGTGGTAAACTAAAAGTTTCCTTGACTGGACATATAAGTAGTGTACGTGGATTAGCATTTTCTCAACGTCATCCATATTTATTTTCTTGTGGAGAAGATAGACAAGTGAAATGCTGGGATCTTGAATATAATAAGGTTACTAAATAGACATATACAAAGTATAATGTAACAATGTCTGTTATGTAGTTATAATTATTTGTTTACTCCAGGTTATAAGACATTATCATGGTCATTTATCAGCAGTGTACTCCATGGCATTACATCCTAGCATAGATGTATTAGTAACTGCTGGTAGAGATTCCACTGCAAGAGTATGGGATATGCGTACTAAAGCCAATGTACATACACTTGCGGGTCACACTAATACAGTTGCTAGTGTTATTTGTCAAGCTGTTGAACCACAGGTATTTTTTATCAAGAACTTCCAAAGTTTTAAAGACTAAAGCATTTAAATACATTTCTCTTCTCTTACTAGATTGTTACTGGAAGTCATGATTGCACTATAAGGTTGTGGGATTTAGCTGCTGGAAAATCTAGAGCTACTTTAACAAATCATAAGAAAAGTGTAAGAGCTGTAACCTTTCATCCATCATTGTATGTATATATATCTATATATATATGTATACATATATGATTTGTATGTATGTACATAGTTTTGTAAATGCTTTGCTTTTTATACTTTTATCAATGTAATCCGTATTGTTTATTAGATACATGTTTGCCTCAGCATCACCAGATAATATTAAACAGTGGAAGTGTCCAGAAGGAAAGTTTATACAAAATTTATCTGGTCACAATGCTATAGTTAATTGTTTGGCTGTAAATGCTGATGGTGTATTAGTTTCTGGTGCAGATAATGGCACTATGCACCTTTGGGACTGGAGGACAGGGTAAATTTCATATAATTTCTATACTTAAATGTTAACCTTTTACTATAAATCCTACGTTTATATCTATAACATTTTTGTGTATTTTATAAGATACAATTTCCAACGCTTGCAAGCACCAGTGCAACCTGGTTCAATGGACAGTGAAGCTGGAGTATTTAGTATTACATTTGATATGTCTGGTACCAGAATGATTACAACAGAAGCTGATAAAACAATTAAAATTTATAAAGAAGATGATACTGCTGTAAGTATAATTTATTATACTTTATTACCTACCATCTAATCTTATAAAAATCAAAGTACAAAATTCTTTTTACATCACATTTCTTATTATTATTTTCAGACTGAAGAAACACATCCTGTTAATTGGAGACCAGATATAATAAAACGGAGAAAGTATTAAATATTGCAACATTCCTATTGTACTGATTTCATATTTTCATGAATCCTATGTTAGAAACAAAATTGATAGAATAATTTAAATATTTTAAAGTTCTTCATTCAGATCAAATTCTTCTTCTGGAAAATTCCCTACTTTTATATGCATTGGTTTTATGAACCCACCATATTTTGATGAACACTCGAAATATTTTTTACCATTCACACTGCAATGTAAAATATACAAAATTAAGGTCAAACTGTAGAATAATTACTTCCTCCTCGATTTTGATGAACGTTGGATATGTTACAAATCTCAACATTTTGATCAATCTTTTCCTATGAATACATGGCACGCACGCGCTTATTTTCCGAGATATCAAAGAAAAACTGTCGCTACTACTACGTTGAATTTTGTTGATACGTGCATATTGCGGTAGCGCGTATGCGTGAGTCAGCAGCCTGCTTGCCTAATGTTTCCACATATACATATAACACATTCAACGCTCATTAAAATCTGAAAGGAAGCAGCTGTTCTACAGTTTCACCAAATTAAATATACACATGTAGATTAAATTATAGGTAAATATCAAATTAATTATGATCTTACGTTCCATCATTTTTACCAAGTGGTTCATCATATTTTACACCAATCCACCAACCTTCCTTAAATTCTGTTTTTCCTACAAATAAAATGAGTTTTATACTAAAAGCATAAATAAATTTAGTTATGCTAAACACAAAGTATACTACTTACCAACATACATAATAGTAGCTCTTCTTTTTGGTTGGTTTGGTACACATACTTCACAACGATCACCAACATGACATAACTTGGCTTCTGCTTCCTCAGCTGCTTCTTCTTGTCTTTTTTCTTCTGCTTTTCTTTCTGCTTTTTCCTTGTTGTATTTTCCTAATTTATTTTTTTCTAAGAATGCTTTTACAGTATCTAAAACATTGAAAAAATATACACTATCAAATTATGTATCTGTATTAAATATCTTTTCTTTTGTCCTTCTATTTTTAGGCAAAAGGTATTGACATTGGTACAAAATGATAGAACTTTATGATAAACATAACACATGACATGTAATATTCGTACAGATCTTTATCTATTTTACCTGTCCTTTTTGCATATTCTTCTTCAGATATCTCAAATTTTTCAACATTACTTAAATTTGCTTCATTGCGTGAAAAATTATCAATTACCTAAAATGTGATACATACTTACATTATTATTATTGTACTATAATTTATAAGTAAATACTGAAATTCTGAATAATAATAATGAAGTACAAAATTTATGTTACATGTATTCGCATTCCATCGTCAATAGGATAAGATCCTAACAGTTGTTGTCCATTGTTTAATGTACAAACTAATCTGTCATTCTTATCAAATACTTCAACTACCATTGTAGTTGGATTACCACCAGTGATAAGCTCCAATTTTCCCTGTCATAAAGTAACAAATTGGTACATAATAGTAAACATTATAGTATAATGAAAATAAAAACATAACACTCTTACCTTAAATTCATCGATCGTGATACCTTTCTGAAATCTTCGTTCCACATAATATTGTTGATTAGAATTAGTAATAGACAAATTTAAAAAATCTGATGTTATGACGTTATAATCGCTCATTTTTGTATGAATTAAGAGAAATGTATCGATATATTATTATTTTTCAAGTTTTACGCTTTGTGTACAAGTGGTTTCTTTGGTTACAACTTTTAAACACAGTTTTTACCAAATAAACAATTTATTAAAGATTGATCATTTCAAAGTTAATACCACATATAATACACATCTCGAGTTCGGTCACAGTGTGAAAATACCAAGGTATGCAGTGTGACATCACTATGTGATGTCGCCCTAATCGAGATAGTCGTCATTTTATTAATCTCTATAGTCACATAGGGATAACATAGTTAATTGTAAGTTCTTAGGTTGTATGTCTAGTTTAAGGGTAGCGCATTCACCAAAGTCGATAGAGAAGAAAGGACAAGAAGGTCATTTTGTTCTCATCCACAGAGACACGCGAATAAAGAGTTCTTACATTCACGAAGAAAATCTGTGTCGTTATTCCTATCTGCTTGTACAAAAAATTACGTTATATGAAAACAGTAATCGCAATATCTTTGGCGCCTCATAGAGTGATCTGCTATAAACTTGAATAAGTAAAAGGTATATACGAACATATTTTGAAATTCCCGCTATTAATTATTTAGTACTAATGCATCACGGTAGTGGGCACATTAACCGTATTAAGAAAGCAATTTATTGAGTGAGTTTACCCTGAAATACGCGGGAGTTGTCAATCCATACTTTGCGTTAATACCAATGGAATTGAACGCACGGTTTATTGCTTACTATATTTAAATTTGTATGTGAAATTTGCGACGTGTATAATTTGCCCATTTCTCCTGAGAACTCTGAAATGTAAAATTACTGTGTGTGTTGACATAATACCAGAATTTCTTCAAAATAAAGTCCAATGTACGAATACTCTTTACAGGTATACGTTATAGTTTACATGTAATCACATTTATCAACCGTGATTAATAACTTATGTATACTTCTATATTTCGGCTTAAGTATTCTATTTTCAAACAATTATTTTAGGTTATTTGAGATAATAATTTTCATACAGTGGATACCATTTCCAATTATCTAAACGTTTAAAGCTGCACCTCCACACAGTTATATGTTTAAAGATTTAGAATACCTTAAATTAATATATATATATGATTTGCTTTATATATACTTATATGTATATACACACATATAAATATATATATTTATAAACATAAATGGAATGTAAGTATTTAAAGTAAAAATATTGATTTTTATAGTAATTAATATGTTTTATTTACTTTATATCGTTAATACAAATTTTGTATTATTTTTAGATCGTTGTAAAACGTAAATACTTCTCTCTCTCAATTTAATTGGACGTACAAATTTTGGATGGCAATATCAGTGAAAAATTTCTGGACTCTGTGCGGCAGACAGTCATCTTACTATAATCATCATGTTGATATTTGACTTTTTGAAAAAGTTTTTTGGTTGGGTGGACGAGACACCAAGAAAACGCAGAGCTGTATCGTTTAGTATAGAAAAAGAATTTGTGACACCGAAAAAACATTGTTGTGATTACGAAACCATCAATGTAGATGAAGAGCTTAATGAAATTAATGATGATAGTGACAGTGATGATACTCACATTATAACAAGACATAAACACTCTCCCATTAAATCGTCCAGTAGATTAAATGGCACATGTAATAAGGACAAATCGTATAGGTGTTGCCCGCCACCTTTTCCATTACCAAAGCCTCAACAGTGTTACAATGAATTAACCATGGGCTGCTTTGGTAATAAAATCAAAGATGGGCAAAACATCGAAACTCGTCAACGATGTTCAACTTTAAATAAAACTCATCGATTGAAAGAAAAAAATCAGTATGAGGAACTGCTGCAAAACTTTCTTCCACACAGGATACACGTTATATGTGATAAATATGAAGAAAAACAATCAACACCAGATGTGGTAGAAGTAATAGATTTAGAGAAGTCTGATTCTTTAAATCCTCCTTCTAAAGTTCACCAAATATCTAGGAAAAAGAACACGTTACCTATGCATTGGAATACAACAAACAAAGAAACAAAAAACAAAGAAGTGGTAATTACTACTATAGAAAATAATGATGAAGATACAGTACATTCCATTTGTAAGACAACGCAGTATCCTAGAAAACATATTAATACAGAAAAGTCAGCCTTAACTAAACATATGGAAAGCATGATTACAAATACATTAAGAGATGAGTTGGCTGCAAAAGCTGTAATCAGGGAAGATTTTATTCCACAAGTAGCGAAAAGATACAATGAGCGTATAGAGCAGCGTTACAAAGAAGCTGAAGAACTAAAAAAAATGACATGTGTGTTATCTAAGCATAATCGTTTAGCTCGAGAAGCTGCTTTGGAGGAACATTTAGCTCGTTCCATGCGATTATGTGAGGCAGTTCTCGATGAAAGAGGAGAACATGAGGAGCCATTGTTACCTACATTAACAGAAGAAATGATGCAAGAAGTAAAAAATGCTCTTATTCCCCGACCACCGGATGAAGTCCTTATAGAAGGTTTCGGTCTTAGAATTACAAGGAAAGATATTCATACTTTGGCTGATTTGAATTGGTTAAATGATGAAGTAATTAATTTTTACATGAATTTATTAATAGCCAGAAGTAGCAATAACAAATATCCAAAAGCACATGCTATGAATACATTTTTTTATCCGAAATTAATCTCAGGAGGACATGCATCCCTCAAGCGATGGACAAGAAAAATTGATATATTCGCACAAGATCTTATAGTTATTCCTATACATCTAGATATTCATTGGTGTATGTCAATAATTGATTTTAGAGACAAATCCGTACGTTATTACGACAGTATGGGTAGTAATAACATGAAATGTTTATCAGCATTGCGACAATATTTGGAGGATGAAAGCTTAGACAAGAAAAAGCAACCATATGATACTAGCAACTGGAAGTTAGAGTGTGCCAAAAATATTCCACAACAAATGAATGGAAGCGATTGTGGCGTATTTTCTTGTATGTTTGCTGAATACATTTGCGCGAATAAGAAAATTACATTTACTCAACAGGACATGCCATATTTTCGAAACAAGATGGTATATGAAATATTAAAATCCAAGCTTTTATAAAAAGCTATCCGAAAAAGACTATTTAAATACCAACAATTGACAGTAAACG